AAATTCCGAGGCCGGACCGGCTGTCCTCTTCCTGGAGGAGGCAGTGGAGGGCCAGCTCCCCGCCGGCCCCGCAGTGAGGTCATCCTGTCTCCCGGATCCGGGCCTTGGCTGTCTGCCTCCGCCTCGTTCTCCTGGAAGGGCCCTCCCTGCCCGGGCTAAGGACGGTGGCAAAGTCCCAGGTCCCACATGCCCATTCTCACGTGGTCTCTCATGATCGCCAGCGTGAGGCCGGCCCAGCCCGCAGGATGGGGCTGGCCCTGGGGTGAGAGCTCACCTGCCCACTTGGGTGGCCAGGATTCTTTCCGAGCAGGGGCCGCTCCCGGAAATGCAGACCCCCGTCGTTTACCCGGGGACCTTTAACCCCCGGAAGTGCAGGCTCGGCCCAGGTGGGCAGTTGATCAGGGCAGGTAGGTGCTAGCAGTCACGGAGCTCTGAGCTTCCCAGGCAGATGACCCGGGGCAGGCCCAGTGGGCCTCAGCGTGGGGACAGACCATCCCCCGGGCCCGCATGCCCAGTGGTGACCAGGAACGGGGAGCCTCTTACAGCTCTCACTTCCTGCTTTGAGGGCGCTCATTCTGAGGAAGTCCCTGAGATCGGTTCCCCCGTGAGCAGGGCCTTGTGCCCCGGTCACCCCCACCTGAACTCCAGGCCACAGTCAAGGGGCCCCCTTACCTCGGATGGCCCCCCTGAACCCCCTGCCTCCCTCTCTTTTACGGACCATAATTGTCCGTTCCCTCTGGGAGGCAGCTAAGCCTTTAAGCGTTCCTTCTGACGGCAGCAATCAAGCACTGGGAGCTGGAGCGTGGCCATCGCCTCTCCAGCCTGGGAAGTGGGAACCGGCAGAGGGGGCAGGGAATGAGGACTCCCCTCGCCCCCCCTTGCCAGGCACTCAGAGTGCCGCTGGACTTGGCCTCTGCTTGAGGCTGCCATGAAAGGAAATGGAGGGACAGGGCCCCCTGCCTTCCACCATGCCCTTTCCACTGCCCCTCCATGCGCTGCCCAGCCGCCGGGGCCCGGCGTGAAGGCGGCTCTCTGAAATCACCTGCGGCTCCTGAATAGCCCCTCGGCCGCCCTCGCCTCCCTCGCCACCTAGGGCCTTTCAGCCCTCTCCCCACATAAGAGCCACAAGCAAGCTGATCGGCTTTGCCTTTGGGACCCGGTCAGCAAGCCACGGCCTGTGTTCCGAGCAAGTGCGGCGTGAATGGCTAGAAGCCGCGGACAAAGGCCACCCTGGAGGGCACAGCTCCCCATCCTGCCCCGCGGCCGTTCCCGTCTCCGTTTTTCCTTTCTTTCCTTTCTGTCCTCTTTAAGGCTCTGCTCGGAATTACTCTTATACAGCATAGTCGCTCTCAGCAGGTCCTTAAAGGATGATCTCGAGGAAATACAGATCACGTCAAGCCCCTTATAAGGTCCTCGGGCACTCCTCCTGCACCCTGGCTGGGCCGGGCTCTGGTGGTCACCCCCGCTGTGCCCTCCGGCCACTGGCCATCTCAGTGTCCCATGGAAGGGTGCCTCTGGAATCTTTGGAGCAAGGGCTTCCCTTTCAGATCTGTGTGCTGAGCACTGGTTGCATCTCGCCTGACACTGTTCTGGGCTCTCAGGACACCTCAGTGAACAAGACAGAAGTGCCTGCCCTCAGGGGCCTGCCATTCCAGGCAGGGAGGCTGGCTCTAACGTACTGGGGGCCAGAGTGGGGGGGTATTAACCTCAGGAGGAAGCAGAGAGCAGCGTGAGGGCGACCAAGGGTGATGGGCATGTGACTTCAGAGAGGCCATAGGTGGCCCCTGAGAGGGCGATGTTCGGGGGATCCTGGGAGGTGGGGAAGGAGCCCAGTTAAAGACCTGGGAAAGGGCCGGGGAACAGGAAGTGCTGGCAAAGGGAGGCTAATGCCCGTGGCATCTGTGCCAGCTCATCACTCACCCACCCGCTCTGTCATTGCTGTGCCTGGCACTGCTGTGTCCGGGCCGCCGGCCCCGCTGTGTGTGTGAAGGCCGCGGGCACATGGGGGGCAGCATGTCAGCTGCCTGTCTGAGGCTGCTCCTACCTCCGCATGCCTCCCTGGTCCCATGAGCAGATCAAGGAAGGTGGTTTGACCTTCTCTCTCCTCCTGGGGTTTGGTTCTTTAGACCTGGGCTCTGGGGTCGGAATGGCGGATGCTGGCCTTTCATAGAGAAGGGCCCGCAGCACCGAATGCAGGCGGCAGCCCAGTGTCCCTCCTCCTGCTCTGGCTCCGTTTTCAGTGCTTCTGCTGCTAGTTTTTGGTCCTTCTGGCACTACCCTGTCACCTTTTCTGGTTTCCAGTTTTTGAGAGGCACCCAGCCTGGACGGTCTCCCAGCCCCGCGTCTCGCTAGCTTCATGGCTTCTGGGGCTGCTTAGCCTTTGCCCTTCTGCACCTTCCTTCCCTCAAGTCTGAGGTGGGGCTAATCACAACCTTCTTCTTAGGGCTGTTGTGAGAATTAGATAGGTTGATGGGTATGAGGTGCTTAGATATGCATGTTATCTTATCTACATATATAAAAGCCCAAGTGACTGGCCGACCAGGACCGAAAATAGCTATGGTGCACACTGACCACCAGGGGGCAGATGCTCCGTGCAGGAGCGGAAACCACAGGTGAGGGAAACATGGGACAGACTGATGAATCTCAGAGGGAAGTGGGGGGGAGGGTGGGAAAAGATTAACCAAAGATCTTATATGCATACTAGAGCAGCAGTCGCCAACTGGTGGTCTGTGGTCCACTGGTGGTCCATGGGGTCCGAAAGGTTGGCGACTCCTGGACTAGAGGCCTGGTGCACAGGGCCCTCTCGCAATCCGGGACCCCTCGGGGGATTATTGGAGAGCCGGGTTCGGCCCGATCCCCGCAGGCCAGGCCAAGGGACCCCACTGGTGTACGAATCTGTGCACCGGGCCTCTAGTTGCTTATAACAAACCACTCCAAAGCATAGTGCCTTACCATAGCAACCTCATTTACTTCGATCATAAACCTGCAGTAGGGGTGGGGTCCGGGAGGGGCAGCTCCTCTGCTGCCCACACTGTCCATCTGGACACTTGACTGGAGCAGAGATGGCTCATTCAACAGACGGAGAGTTGGTGCTGCCTATGGGCCAGGAGCTCAGCTGGGCTGTGGCCGAGGGACTTGGTCCTCTTTGTGGGCTTCTTGGACATGGTTCCAAGAGCAAAAAGTGGAAGCAGCCCTGCTGGTGTGGCTCAGTGGTTGAGTATCGACCCATGAACCAGGAGGTCACAGGCTTGATTCCTGGTCTGGGCATATGCTCGGGTTGCAGGTTCAATCCCCATTAAGGGCCATGCAGGATTCAGGTGACCAGTGATTCTCTCTCATTGATGTTTCTTATCTCTCTATCCCTCTCCCTTCCCTTCTCTCTAAAAATCAATAACATTTTTTTTTTTTTAAGTTGAACTAGCCTTAGAAGTCAGAAGCGTCATATCTTTCGTCCTGTTGGTCAAAGTAGTCACAGAGACTCCCTGGTTTCGGGGGGCAGAGGCACAGACTCCACCTCTTTGTAGGAAAGGTTCCAGAAGAGCAGGGGGGACGAAAGGGAATATGGTGGCTGTCTTTGGGGGAAAAAATCTGCACAGAATAGATTTGAAATGGAATTCTTCATCCTCGTGTAGGGGGTGGTTAGGAGTGTGGATTATGGGGAACCAAGTCTCATCATAGATGTTTTTCCTGTTTCTTGGTGTCCCTGCTGACCCATGCCAGTGGAGACACTTGAGAGTTGTGACAGCAGCTGTCAGTATAAAAGGATTCTGGAAACGCTCAGAGGTAGATTTCAGGCAGAGCCAGGCTGCAGTCGGGGCACCTGTGCCACCGTTTTGTTTTCCGTTGGTGTCCTTCTCGGGCAGGCTTTCCCCACGTGGTGGCCGAGGCAGCTGCCTGCAGCAACGGGAAGAGAGCCCCTCCTTCCAACCGGCCCAGGACGAGTCCCAGTTTCAGCCCTCCGGGGCCGGCGTGGACCAGCCTGTCCGGGGAGGGGAGGGGCTCTCATTGCACCTGGGCACCTGCCCGGGAGCCAGGGGTGGAGCCAGCCCGAGCCGAAGAATGTTCTCCAGAGGCTGATGGGCCGTGCAGGAAAGGGTGTGGGGTCAGCACGTAGAAGCCACAGATGACCCCGCACCAAGGAACAAATCCAGTTATTTTTGTTGTTAATCCTCACCGAGGATATTTTCTTGGATTTTTAGAGACTGGAAGGGAGAGACACAGAGAGAAACATTGATGTGAGAGAGACGCAGACCAGGGCCTGCAACCTAGGCAGCTTGCTGTTGACCGGAATCGAATCCAGGATCCTTTAATCCACGGGCCAACATTCTAACCACTGAGTCAAACTGGCTAGGGCCAAATCCAATTATTTTTCTTTCTTTTAAAAAATATTTTTTGATTGATTTCAGAGAGAAAGGGAGAGGGAAGGGAGAGGAGGAACATCAGTGAGGAGATAAAATCATGGATCGGATGCCTCCAGCATTCCCCACACTGGGGATTGAGCCCGCAACCCGGACATGTGCCCCGATCAGGAATCGAACCATGACTTCCTGGCTCATAGGTTGGCGCTCAACCACTGCGCCACGCCAGCCGGGCAGTTGTTTTTCATTTGTGACTAAGTAGAATATTAACACATTTCCAAAAGCCAAAAGTAAACAGAAAGTTGGAGTGACACTTCTACCTCGTTTCCCACCTCTCCCGTAGGTAGCTGATTTCACTGAGCTCTACTTCTCTTCCTCTCTTTCTTTTCTGTAAAGATGAGTGGGCAGCTGTATGGTATGTTTTTCCTTCCTTGTGCTCTTTTGTACTTGCTTTTTCCCTTAACAAGAGAAGGAGCAATATTGTTACCTAACCACACTGATTCTTGCTGTCCTGGTGCACGGAGCGGAGATTGACATATAAATGCGTGCGTGTCCGAGCACGCGAGGCCCTTCCTTCTGGTGCCGTGTCTCTGTCCTCCTCCTCCCGGGCTCTAGGTGAATCTCTCTCCTCTCCCAATGCAGATGGAGGCAGTTATGCCGCCCACGGCTCCCAGGCCTCCAGCCTGAGCTCAGAGGGCGAGAGCTTCCCCTCAAGCCCCACTGGACACCACTGGGAGATGAATTATCAGGAGGCGGCCATCTACCTCCAGGTGAGCATCGCTGGGCCAGGACTTGGCCCTTCTGGGGGGGGGGGGGGGCGATGGGAGGCGGGGCTCTGTTGGATGCCCAGGAGTTCAGTTCAGGCTTCGGTTCTCTGTGCGTGAGCTTCTCGCCTTATGGTGGGGAGAGCCAGCCTGATGGTACCTGCCCTGGACGGGCGATGTATGTGGGCTCATCAGGTGACCCCAGCCTGCGGCTCCACCTGCCCCACCAGCCTCCCCGAGACCAAAGCCACCCACCTAGTAGGTTGCAGAGCGTGGGTGGGTGGCCACACTAGCCTCCAAGTGATGTTCTTCCTTCTATACATTGTTGCCTCATTTCTATATGCTACCACATGTATGCACTTGAAAATGAGCCTTGTAGTTGTGGGAAAAGAGGTTACAAAACAGGACTTGTATGATCATTGTTGTATAGCATTTATGTACACACACATACACACACACACACACACACACACACACACACTCAAACCCATATATAGCTGTTTATATAGATACTGGAGGCCCAATGCACGGAATTCGTGCAAGAGCAGGCCTTCCTTCCGCTGGCTGCCGGCACCGGCTTCCCTCCGGCACCTGGGACCCTGGCTTCCCTTGCAGCCCTGGCTTCATCCGGAAGGTTGTCTGGAAAGATATCTGGTTTAATTAGCCTATTAACTTTTATTACTATAGATGTACTCGTATATAGCTTCAGATACCTCTGTGTGTGTGTGTGTGTGTGTGTGTTTGCACAAATACCCATTTACATCTGGAAAGTTATTTATCTCAGTGTTAAAGGTGATTATATTTAGCTGATGGGCTTTTTACAACCTTATAATCCTGTGTATTATTTGAATGATTTTTACCCAAAATGCACCTTTAAAAAAAAAAGAGCAGAACTGCGCTCTCCATGAGCAGCATTTGGGGCTGTCTCTGGAGGGTGGGCTGAGCCGCTGTCGGACGGTCTTCCTTTCCCGCTTGGAGCTGAGCTGCAGGCAGACCCTGCCGGGTGGCGGGTGTGCTTGGGCCATCGGGCCCTCGCTGCTGTGAGGCTGCCTGGTCCCCGCAGTTTCTGCTCTTTTCAGAGCTCATCTGTCAGCCCCGTCCCCTCGGGAGCCGGGTGTGAGCGGTCACAGTGCCTCCGAGAAGGTTCTTGTTTGCTGTGTGGACTTCTCCTCGGGGAGCCGAGAGTGGAGGCTGGACGTCATGTGGAACTGGCCGCCTTCTTCTTTTTCTTAATCTCTATTCCGATCAGCAGCCAGGAAACAAGGCCCCTGTTCTCTCTCCTTGGGGTCTGGCCCAGAACCCAGTGACCCGGCTCGTATTTCACTCTGTGCTCATTGGTGGTGACCTCAGCCTCCACCTCCTCAGTGGCCTTTCCAAGTCCTGGAGCTCAGCTTGAGCCCCCCTGTCAGGGGTTTCTTCTAGTCGGACCCTCCTTGCTGGCCGCTTGTAGGGTGACATTCCCCGGGAATTGCATATTTTAGTAATCCAAACCAGAAGCTCGCCGGCCACCGGGGGCGTCTGCGGCCATGGGGCAGCGTCAGACCAACAGCCCCGCGGAGATCACAGGGCCCGAGCCTGGAGCCCGGCCTGCCGCCCGCCCTCGGAGTGACCGCCGGCGTGTCTGTTTCCTCTGTGGACCTGGCCCTGTCCAGCCTGTGGTTTGTCTTTGTTTTGGTACTGAGGGTAGTGACGTATCCAAATTCAGGAAGTGACTTCTTCAAAGCTACTCGGCAAACCACAGTCAAGGCCAGCGCTCCCCGCCTCCCAGCTGCTGGGTGGACGGTCGCCGAGCGGGGCTGGCGCCTGGAGAAGTGATCTCCTGCAAAACGGTTCATCCTCCCAAACATCTATTAAACACCTACTGTGTACCGGCCGCCTCCCAAGTGTCTTCCCGGAGCCCTGTGAGGAAGGGGAGCGCCGTTGGGCTGACAGCTGGAGAGGGTGTGGCCCAGGGAGGAGTGGGGAAGCCCGTGCTTGTTGAGCCCAGGACTGCCCCCTCAGCTCTGTACATTCTGCAGACATTTCTGAGAGCGAGCACGTGGCCTCCAGGGACCCGTTGTGCCCAGTTCCCTGCTTTCTCTGGACCTTTAAAAAAATATATATCTTTATTGATTTCAGAAAGGAAGGGAGAGGGGGAGAGAGCTAGGAACATCAATGATGATGGAGAATCATTGATCGGCTGCCTCCTGCCCGCCGCCCCTTCCTCCCCCCAATAGAGATTTAGTCTGCAAACCAGGCAAGTGCCTTCGCCGGGAATCGAACCTGATTCATAGGTTGACGCTCAACCACTGGGTCACTCTGGCGAGGCTGGGCCTTTTTGTTGTTGTTGTTAATCCTCATCCGAGAATGTTTCTTCCATTGATTTTTAGAGAGTAGAAGGGAGAGGGAGAGACAGAGAGAGAGAGAGAGCAACATTGATGTGAGAGAGACAGCAGTTGTTTCCTCCTGCACACACCAGGGCTGGGATCAAGGCTGCAACTGAGACACCGGGTGCCCTTGACTGGAAATCGAACCCACGACCTTCAGTCAACGGGCCGACACCGTAACCACTGAGCCAAACCGGCTAGGGCCCTCAGGGCCTTTTATTCTTTGATTCCTCTACGTGGTTTTTAGGAATCAGCAAGTTAAAAGCCCCATCAGCAGGCCAGGGCGTGGCACACGGTTTTGTGGCCGTAAGACTTTTGTATGTCCATCATCTTCCGCCTCTGGCCTGGACCGTCTCTTACCCGCAGGGCCCTCCCTCTCGCTCTACCCCGCGGCTCTTGTTTCCGCAGGAAGGCGAGAATAACGACAAGTTCTTCACCCACCCCAAGAATGCCAAAGCGCTGGCGGCCTACCTCTTCGCACACAACCACCTCTTCTACCTGATGGAGCTGGCCACGGCCCTGCTGCTGCTGCTGCTGTCGCTGTGCGAGGCGCCTGCCGTGCCCGCGCTCCGCCTCGGCATCTACGTGAGTGTCCCCCGACGGCTGGGAGCCGCTGCTCCCCGGGGGGGCAAGCTTAAGCTTAAAGGGGAACATTCTGGAAGGGCAGGCAGCGCAAACTGATTGAAAACAGCCCCTGGGAGGCCCTAGAGGCCTCGGGAGCGGCAGTTACTCGCTCGTCCTCTTGGGCTCCCTGTGGAGCGAAGGCACTTTGCTCACTCAATCCGGCTGTGATTCCCCTCGGAAATGCCAGGGGGCGCCATCTGCTGGCCTCACTTGGGACCAGCGGCCACACCTCGGCGCCAGGTGGACAGCACACCTGATGGCAGCCCCTCCCACTCTTTCCAGCCTCAGAGGAGAGGCGGTCGGTCGGGGCGATGGCCAGCGGGAGGACGGGCCCGGCGATGCCATGTCTCCGCACCCTGTGGTTTGCAGGTCCACGCGACCCTGGAGCTGTTCGCCCTGATGGTGGTCGTCTTCGAACTCTGCATGAAGCTGCGGTGGCTGGGCCTCCACACCTTCGTCCGGCATAAGCGGACCATGGTCAAGGTTGCGTGTCCATCTCCTTCCAGCGTTTTCTCCCGTCTCTTCCCTTCCAAATCCCCTGGCGCTCGGAAGTGTAACCCGGGTCCCCACCCTCGCTGTGCCCCAGCCTCGCAGAGCCGTGCTCCAAGGTCACGGTCGTGGTCATGCTAGTGTGACAGCAGCTAGTGTGATTCGGAATTTGGGGCGCTGAGCACGGGCGCGCGGTAACCCTCGAGGGAGATGCATTCCTGTTCCTGGTTCACATCCAGCCACAGCAGAGAATGGGAGTCAAACCCAGGTCTGGCTGGCCTCCGAGCCCACGCTGGCCTGAAACCAGCACCGGACACGTTCTCTCTGCTGCAGAGAGGCACAAGTAGAAGTGTGTCAGGGTGGCACTTTGCAGTGTAAAGGGCATGCGCAGTTGTTCAGGGAAAGCGCCCCGGGGAGCTGAAGAGCAAGGTGTGCTTCGGACCTGACCCAGAGGTCCTCACAGTGCAAGTCAGGAGAGCCGGAGCCCGGGTTGGTAGACGTGGCCGGACACAGTGGCAGGTGTTTTTGTTTGTTTTTGTTTTTAAGAAATAAAGGAAGAGGGAGACAGAGAGAAACATGAATGTGAGAGCGACATCGATTGGTTGCTTCCCACACTCTGACCAGGAGTTCAAGCCTAGGTACGTGCCCTTGACCAGAATCTAACCTGGGACCCTCCCGTCTCCAAGCCAACACTCTTCACTGAGCCAAGTAGGGCAGTTTTTTGTTTTGTGTGTATATATATATATATATATATATATTTTTTTTTTTTAAATATATATTTTATTGATTTTTTACAGGGAGGAAGGGAGAGGGATAGAAAGCTAGAAACATCAATGAGAGAGAAACATTGACCAGTTGCCTCTTGCACACCCCCCACTGGGGATGTGCCCACAACTAATGTACATGCCCTTAACTGGAATCGAACCCAGGACCTTTCAGTCCGTAGGCCGACTCTCTATCAACTGAGCTAAACCGGTTTCGGCTTGTGTGTGTATTTTATTTAAAAATATTTTTATTGATTTTAGAGAGAGGAAGGGAGAGGGGGAAAGAGATAGAAAAAAATCAATGATGAGAGAGAATTATTGATCGGCTGCCTCCTGCACGACACCCACTGGGGATCGATCCCACAACCTCCGCATGTGCCCTGACCAGGAATCGAACGCTCTCTCACTGAGCCACCCCAGCCAGGCTGAGTATAAGAGTTGCTCAGTGAATACCCTCTGAGGTGCTGCTGAGAGCATTGCCCTCCGGGCCATTCTCCTGCTACCACATACCTGTGCCACAGCCCAGGGCCTTCCCCCGGGGCTGCTTGATGTGGGCACTGGAGAAAAGGGATGGGCCTCTCAGCACCAGAGTGCCATTCCCTAGCGAGCCCTGAGCTCAGGGTGTCCGGGAGGGGTCTGGGCGGAGGAGCTGATGTGCTCTCTGCCCGCCCGCCCCCAGGCCTCCGTGCTGGTGGTGCAGTTCATCGAGGCCATCGTGGTGCTGGTGCGGCAGACGTCCCACATGCGGGTGACCCGGGCACTGCGCTGCATCTTCCTGGTGGACTGTCGGTACTGCGGTGGCGTCCGGCGGTAAGGCCTGGGGGAAAAGCTGCTCAGACAGTCGTTATCCTGGCCTGGCCTGCACCCCTGGGCCGGTGGAGCAGGACCCAGTGAGTCAAGTAGCCATAAGGTCCATCCTGCCCGTCGGTAGGGTCTAACTAAGTACGCTCACCTCCCTCTGCCTCTCGGCCCCACAGAGAGGAAGGCTCTTCCCCCTGAAGTTTAGGTGTCCGGACTCCAGGCCTGCGTCCCAGCTTTCTGGGCCTGGCCCCTCTCCATGCACATTGTCTGCCCCAGCACAGAGCAGGCAGCCTGGCTAAAGGTGCACATGGCTCACAGGCTGTCCTGGTGCCTCCCCGAGACCAGGGCCCTGCACTCGAACACACCGTCCGCCTAGAGTTAGACTGAGCTTTGAGACTGTTGATAAGAATGGGCTGGCAATTCATTCTCTGTGCATCCTCAGCGCAGGGCACACGTGTCCTAGGACCAGGTGGCCCCGAGCTGCCTCCAAGCACCCCACTTGGGGAAGCGACCTCTGCACCGAGTCTCTGCCCTCAGCCTTCTGCTTCCCCTCCCTCTCTCACGGGGCACTCCCCACTGACCCTGCAGGCAGGAGGAGGGGGTGTCTGTGCTGCACCTCCTCCCTCCTCCCTGTCACCACAGAGGGCAGGTCCTGCAGGACAGCAAGCCGGGGCGCAAGGAGGGTTAGTGTTCTGAGTCAGGAGCACCAGACCCGGGCCCCCATGAGCGTGTATTCCCCTGAGGAGTCCGGACCACGCTCCTCGGGCCCACCCTGGGCTGCATCTCATCCCCCCATCCCCTGTCTCCCCAGTAACCTTCGGCAGATCTTCCAGTCCCTGCCCCCCTTCATGGACATCCTGCTGCTGCTGCTCTTCTTCATGATCATCTTCGCCATCCTCGGTGAGTTCCCTGCTCTCATTTACGTGTATTGGTCCAGTCCTTTGACATCTTTTCAATCTGTTTTCTGCTCCCTTCCAGGTTTCTACTTGTTCTCCCCTAATCCTTCGGACCCCGTAAGTAATCACCATGTTTTGTCCGTTTCTTTCTTTGTGTGAGGCCATTCTCCTCTGACAAGGTGGCTGGGCTGACTCTCTAGCTACGTGAGGGAGGGAGGCCTGCCTGGCTTCCATCACAGCTGACGGCCCTTGCAAGTCCCCGTCACCCCGACCTGAGCTGTTTCCCTTCCCTACGCACTAAGGGGTATGGTTTCTGACCGCGAGACTCAGTTTCCAAGATCATATTTGGAACACGGGAACATTTTTTATATATATATATATTTTATTGATTTTATACAGAGAGGAAGGGAGAGAGATGGAGAGTTAGAAACATCGATGAGAGAGAGTCATCGATCAGCTGCCTCTTGCACACCCCCTACTGGGGATGTGCCCGCAACCAAGGTACATGCCCTTGACCGGAATCCAAGCCGTGACCTTTCAGTCCCCAAGCTGACGCTCTATCCATTGAGCCAAACCGGTCCCGGCAGAACATGGGAACATTTTGGTGGAGGTTACAGTGAAGGAGATCCAAGCTCACTGTGCAAACATCTGATTTTCTGTAAGAAAAGTCCCTAAGTCACTTGTCTGCTTCTGCCAGAAGCGTGGAGCTCAGGAAGGCGGAGTCCTTACTCCAGTTTGCTCATCCCTCAGGGATCTCGTGGGAGGGACAGAGTTAGTGGGGTGGGGCGGGGAGGGCAGGGTGCTCCGGGGGCCCGTTGCAGGCTGGCCTGCGGCTGGCCAGCATGTCCTCCTGCCTCCTTTCCCCAACAGTACTTCAGCACCCTGGAGAGCAGCATCGTCAGTCTGTTCGTCCTCCTGACCACAGCCAAGTGAGTGTGGGCTCTGCTCCGGGGCTTCCCAGCCCAGACATTACCTGTCTCAGCCCAGACAGTGCTCCGGGCACTGGGAGGAATGGGAGTGGCCTGGTGACTCGGAGCCCGTGAGCTCCGAGCGGGGCTGGGAAGGCAGAAAAGAGATGTCCTTAGAAAAGAAGGAGGCTGGCAGATGGGGCCCCTGGGCAATGCTCTCCAAATGCAGTTTCCCAGACGTGATGATGCCTTCCTACTCCCGGAACCCCTGGTCCTGCGTCTTCTTCATCGTGTACCTCTCCATCGAGCTGTACTTCATCATGAACCTGGTGAGTGACCGTGTGTCGTCTCCGCTGGGGCAGCCGGCACAGCTGGGTGCCATGGGCATGGAAAAGGAGGTGCCACGTCAGCAGGGGCTGGGGGTGCCAGGCTGCAGTCGGGGGTGGTGCGGGGACCAGCGTGGCAGCCTCCCTGGGTTATTCCCGCCATTGTTCTGATAGTGCTCGTGTCTGAGCCAAGGCTCCCCGTGACCTGTTGTTCATTCTCACCGCAGACGTGTAATAACTATTAAAGCCGGCACTGCGTAGCCTTACCCGGGCGCCGTGCTAGGTGGATTAAATGATTTCACACAACAGCCCTGGAGGGCCCATTATGATCCTCAGTGTGTAGATGGGGCCCTGAGGGTCGGGTGGACAGAGGGACAGGCCCACGGCTGTGAGCTGGTGTGATTCCAAGCCCTGCTCTGAACCGCTCGGGCCTTCGGCACCCACGTCCTGGAATTTCCACTCCTTTTATCACGAACCACTGGAAATTCCAGCACAGGACACACTGTCGGGAGAAGGGGAAGTCCCCGTGCACACTGGGACTGGGGAGGCATTTGAGGAGGCGGGGCTGGCCACCAGGCATGTTCCTGCCATCAGCCAATCACTGTTAGGCAGGTGCCAAGACCACACGTCAGCACCGGAATTACCAGAGAGAGGCTCTTACTCATCTTGTATTTTTATGCTTCTAAGGAGCATTCTCACACCAGGCATCACAGCCAGGCCTGGGATAGAATAGAAGACACTTTTTTGCCATAGCCAGTTTGGCTCAGTGGTTAGAGCATTGGCCCACGGAGTGAAGGGCTTTGGGTTCGATTCTGGTCAAGGGCATATTCCTTGGTTGCATGCCTCAGGGCATGCAGAGAGCAACCAGACGATATTTTTCACACATTTGGTGTTTCTCTCTCTGTCCCCCTCCCTTCCGCTCTCTCTAAAACGCAATGGGAAAATATCCGCAGGTGAGGATTAGGAAAAAGAAGAAAGGAGCAGACACGTGAAATCTAAAAGTGTGAGGTCTTAAAAAGGAAAACATTTTTTAATTCCTCAAAACCAAAAAGAAATATGTTAGCTATCTTCATACACATTACAGTTCTTATATACCGTCCTTAGTTTAGAATCATAACAACGTATTATGTATAATTGATTTAATTTGTTGTGAAAATCCGGGGTAGGGAGTCTGTGAACCGCAGCCTGCTGGCCAAAGCCTGCACTTATAAAGTTTTATTGGCACACAGCCACACCCATTAGTTCCCGCATCCTCTGTGGCTGATTTCGTGCTGCAACTGCAGAGACCATCTGTCCTTCAGAGCCTGCAATAGTTGTTGTCTGGCTCTTTATGGAAAGGTTTGCTGACCTTTTCTTGACCTAAAGGAAAAAATTTGGAGGGAGGGCCATTTGAAGGAGTAGGAAGGACAAGAGAATTTCCCTCAAAATATTTTTGAAAGAAAAAGAAAGTGTTTCTTGCTCCCCTTGCTCTCTGGTGAAGCAGGCTGTGTGGTGACTAAGCTGAACTTGGAATCGGGCAGTTCCAGGATGTGGCCTCAAGGAAGGCCCCCTGCCCCCTGGTGCCTGGGACCAGTGCACGAAGCTGGGACTCACCAGGACGGGGAGCAAGGGGGCGAGGGGGAGGCAGCCTCCACCATGCTGATGCTCCTCCGAGCTCGGGGGCCTGGCGGGCACAGGAGGGACCCAGCCTCCCAGGCCTTCGCCATCAGCCACTAGACTGAGCTGATGGGGGCATCGAGCCCAGCATGCCCTTCCCTGCTTCCTTCTCACCTTATAAAACTGTCCAGTCAGGGACGAGCTGTAGGTGAAGTACCTGGGGAAATATAACAACAATGTTTTCATGTGTCTAAAGAGAGAAAATTTACAAGTGGTGATACATGGCCTTCCTCTTTGTTTTTTTTTTTTTAATTTATTATTTCAGAGAGGAAGGGAGGAGAGAGAGAAACAATGATAAGAGAGAATCATTGATCGGCTGCCTCCTGCACACCCCCTACTGGGGAGATGGAGCCTGCAATCCAGTCATGTGCTCTTGACTGGAATCGAACCTGGGACCCTTCAGTCTGCAGGCTGATGGTCTATCCATTGAGCCAAACCAACTAGGGCATGGCCTTCCTCTTTGACTTGGAGATAGACTCCTGTCTCCGACAAGGACAGGCGGCAGGATCACCCCTCCCCCTCCCTGGGTCTGGGGTGTGTGGGAGAGCGCCCTCTGGAGGCAGAGGGTACACTCCCAACCCCTTGAGGTCCCCCTGTGCAAGGAGCCAGGTGTCTGCTCTTCCCTCACAGCTGCTGGCCGTGGTGTTCGACACCTTCAACGACATCGAGAAACGCAAGTTCAAGTCTTTGCTATTGCACAAGCGAACTGCCATCCAGCACGCCTATCGCCTGCTCGTCAGCCAGCGGGTAGGGGTGTGGGGTGGGGGAGTTGGGCTGGGAGGGGTTTGGTCCTTAGTACCCCTCCCTTGCCCTGGGCAGCCCCAAAGCACGGCAGGCCGGCAGCTTTAGAACCAGGGGTCCTTGCACGCTGGGCGTGGCTCAGTGGGTGAATGTTGACCTGTGAACCTGCAGGTCCCGTTAGATTCCCGGTCATGGTACTTGCCTGGGTTGTGGGTGTGCAGGAGGCAGCCAGTCAATGTTTCTCTCTCATCGATGTTTCTGTCTCTCTGTCCTTCTCTCTTCCTATCTCTCTCAAATCAATAAGAACATATTTTAAAAAAAGAAAAATAAAGCAGGGGTCCTGCCCTTGGGAGGCTAAGAAGGAGCCAGGCACCCGGGATCCAGGCAGTGCTGGGCAGCCAAGTAGTCGCCCCCGAGGGAGGAGGCCGTGGGCTCTGCCTTCGCCTGTGCTGACACTTGGTCCTTCCTCTCCCCCAGAGGCCCGCCGGCATCTCCTACAGGCAGTTCGAAGGCCTGATGCGCTTCTACAAGCCCCAGGTGAATGCCTGGGAGCGCTACCTGACTTTCAAGGCCCTGAATCAGAGCAACACCCCTCTGCTCAGGTAAGAGTGCGGCCAGGTGGGGGCGCTGTGGCCCGCTGAGGGATTCCGGGGAAGTCCCACCCAAATTTAATTCAGGCTGACTTGCCAAAAAGTGGAATATATTGGATCATGAAGTAGACTGACCCATTCTTAGCTGCTCACCTTTGAGCTAAGAATGAGTGGGGATGTTGCATACGAGCAGGTCCACAGAGGGGTGTTGGCGCATGCACACACATACGCACGCACGCACGCACACACGCACACACATATGCAGGCATGTGCACACCACGGAGCAGCCTCGGAGATTTCCAGGGGAATCTCGATCTTCTAGATGGCTGACAACCGAACCCTTCTTTTCAGTTTGAAAAGCAGCAGGCCACTGCAGATAGGAGAGCGAGTCAGTTCTGTTTGGGCTGAACTCTCGGCCCATTTGTCCCAGTAAGTTCTCTGCTATGTAAGCATTATAGTGGTTCTGGGGGCCTGACGCTGTCACTCAGACTGAGAGGATTAAGTATTCACAGGGCCCGGAGGAAGGTCAGAATGCCTGCAGGGGAGGTTCCCCCTCCCCCACTTATATGCCAGGACTCCCAGCTGTCCCCTCCCCCTTTCCGCCTTCCCCCTTTAAAGGGGACCACAGGCAGGCAAGGAACAGAAGAAAAGCTCAGTGGGAGCATTCTGGGTTTTTTTAAAATTTACTTTGCCTTTTCATGTTGCTCCGACAGCCTGAAGGACTTTTACGATATCTATGAAGTCACCGCCTTGAAGTGGAAGGTAAGACCTGAGAGGGAGCAGGTGGACAGCCCCACGGAAGGGAGGAGGCCCAGAGGCACCTGAGGGCCAGTTCTTTTCTTGTTTTTTAAAATATATTTTTATTGATTTCAGAGAGGAAGGCAGAGGGAGAGAGCGAGCGATAGAAGCATCGGTGATGAGAGAGAATCATTGATCAGCTGCCTCCTGCACGCCCCACCCTGGGGACCGAGCCCACAACCTGGGCAACGTGCCCCGACTGGGAATCGAACCGTGACCTCCCTGTGCTCACTGAGCCACCGTGGCCGGGCCGAGGTCCAGTTCTTCCTTGGCTGGAACAACACCTCTGTCCTGGTCATTTCAGGGACACCAGGTGGCCCGGGCCCCCATCTGCCTTCACACGTGTAAGACAGTGTCCTGGTCACCAGCTCTGAATCTCGGGCCCCATTAGCCACCGTGACTTCGAGCCCCTTACGTGACTTTTACCAGGTCGTCACACCTGGGAAACGGGCTGACAGGACCTCCAGTTACTTTCAGGACGTTATAGAATAAGGCACATGCGTGGCCCGTGGAAGTGCTCAGTGGCCCTGGGCTGGCCTCATTGTTACTTAGATCCCGGAGTGTTCTTCCTTTTCCCCACGTTAGAGCCTGGGAGCAGGGAGGGGCCGAGGCCGCCTGGCCCCGGGGTCAGGTCCCCGTCCCTGGTTGAACCCCCCTCCCACGGCCCTGTTTTCCTGGGCAGGCGAAGAAGAACAGAGAGCACTGGTTCGATGAGCTTCCCAGGACAGCCTTCCTCATCTTCAAAGGTAAGGCGCCCCCGAAGACGTGTCGTGAACAAAGTGTTAGGGACCAGGGAAGAAACTGGCAACTTTAAACCAAAAGGCATCTGTGGAATGTCCAGTTCACTGCAGAAAAGTTTGCCAAGTCCCATCGCCTGAGGAAAATCTCCCCCCGGACATAACCGCTGCTCATGTTCTGGTTTGTTTCTGACGTCGGTTGCTGTTTCTGCACCTCTGAAAACTGTGGGACTGCAGTCTGTGTTCTGTCTGAAACCTGCCTTTTTATCGGCTGGTGCATTTTGCCTGTCCCCCCTGTGCAAGGTGCATACCCAGTGTGCGTGATCCCTTGGCAGTATAAGATTCAGCCGTTTTACATCGGAGTGCCCGGATTGTTTACCTGACAGCCCCCCTTCACTTAATGCCCGTTTGGAAGTTCTCCCGGGGTATGAGGGGGGCGGGGGAGTGAGTCCACAGGGAGTTTCTCTGTAAAAAGCCCGAAGCCTGGGTCTGGGCCGCATGAACATGAGGAACGATGGGATGGCCGAGTTTGTGATTTCTTCCTCTGCTGGTGCGCGGGGTGCAGATGTCACCTTATATTCTCTAACGGGTTTCCGTTCCGCTGGGATGATAGTTGCTCAAGTGGGTGAGGAAATGGTCCCAGGCCGAGGCCTGCAGGACTGTAGGTCTCAACAGTGGCAGCAACACTGTGTTCCATTCAGTCCCGGCTCGGCCTGGGTCGCCTAGTCTGTCCCCAGAGCAGCTGTGGTCCATGCCGTTGTGTCCGGGTGTCTGAGTGTCCCCAGGGGACAGGCTTTTCCGTTTTCACCCCTGGACACAGGCCCCCTGGTTGCTGACGCGCACGCACTGTGGAGTCGGGGAGCATGTTTGCACAGGAAGACTTCGATGCTAATAGTTCTTCTCTTCCGACAGGGGTTAACATCCTGGTGAAGTCCAAAGCCTTTCAGTATTTCATGTGTAAGTGCGACCCGTCCAGCTCTGGTCCCCCTGCTTCTGGGGCTCACTCCTCTGTAGTGGGGAGGCCAGAGATGGTCCTGCAGTCCCGTGAGGACTGTTCATCGTAGAAAATTCAGGGACGTCCACGTGCCCAGCACCCCTGGAGGCACTCACCGCCCCGTGGCCAGTCCTCCTTGTGCATCTGCGCCCTCACTCGGGCTCGCTATACCCTTAGGCCTGGAGTTTTGAAAGCTAATTCCAGAACCGCAGAGTGTGATGGGTGGATAAGTTTGATTATTAAAAGAACTTGTTTTTCCTTTGAGATGTTTGATTTTTAAAATGACTGCACAATTAGCAAAATGCACGCGGATCTGGCCTTTCACTGAGCAATCCCACTGCTAGGAACCCATCCTAATGAGAACCCAGCCTAATGTGGGTCTTTTTAATCTGTAGGTTCCTCCTTCGTCCCTCTTCTCCCTCCCACACTGTGTAGTTGAAGAAACAGGACTGGTCCTCTTTCTGTCTTGTTTGTGTTTGTTTTTGCATATCCTCCATTAATTATTTCCGGCAACTTTACCTCTTGTCACCTCCCCCAATGGGTACCTGTTATCATGCCTTATCCATCCATGTTTTAAAATATATTTTCTTTTATTGATTTTATACAGAGAGGAAGGGAGAGAGATAGAGTTAGAAACATCGGTGAGAGAGAGTCATCGATCAGCTGCCTCTTGCACACCCCCCACTGGGGATACGCCTGCAACCAAGGTACATGCCCCTGACCGGAATCGAACCCAGGACCCTTCAGTCCCCAAGCCGACGCTCTATCCATTGAGCCAAACTGGTCCCAGCTATCCATCCATGTTTTAAAAACTCCGAATAGGTGCATACGTATGCATATATCTCTGTCTTCAGGAAATTAAAGCATACTTTACACACTTGTTAGCAATAAATCCTGGAGACCACGCCACAGTAATATATAGAGATGTCCCCCATATTTTTTTATAGTTGATAGGATTTTTTTTTTTTTTTTTAATTTTCACCAATGATATGTTTTCTTATTGATAGAGAGAATGGAAGGGGAGAGAAAAACATCGATGTGAAAAACATTGATTGGTTGCCCCTTGTACGCCAACTGGGGTTCGAACCCACAACCTTCCTATGCACGGGATGATGCTCCAACCGACTGAGCCACCTGGCTGGGGCGGTAGGCTCCTTGTCATGACCGCATCATAGTTCATTCCACCGGTACCTCCTGATTGCTAGGTGGGTTCTGATGTTTTGCCATTGCAAGTAGTTCTCGCGTGAATAGCTTTCTGGGTACCTGGTGCTGTGTGTTTGCTGGTGTCTCATTAGGATGGGTTCCTAGCAGCGGGAATGCTCAGTGGAAGGCCAGGTCCACATGTATTTTGCTAACTGTGCAGTCATTTTAAAAATCAGACATCTTGAAGGAAAAGCAAATTATTTCAATAATCAAACCCTCGGTGGATTGTCCATCGTTGATACTGACTTAGAATAATAGGTTTTACTGGAACATCTTAACTGGTATCTCTGCCGTGACGGAAGGGGCTTTTAGAAATTCATAGCTATTGCTAAGCGAAACCAGCAGTTGATTGAGCTCATGTGGTAAAAGCACTAAGCAGTCACCTGTCCCATGGGGTGGGGAGCGGCCCGGAAATGAACCAGGCGTGACCTGCAGGCCTGTGCTTCTCTGTCGGTTGCAGACCTGGTGGTGGCGGTCAACGGGGTCTGGGTCCTCGCGGAGACCTTCATGCTGAGAGGTGAGCCCGGCTGGGGGCCCGCCCCGCCCCTGGGCCTGCCCGGCCTCCTCCTGAGCTGCGGCCTCTCTGTCCTGCAGGTGGGAACTTCTTCTCCAAGCATGTGCCCTGGAGCTCCCTCGTCTTCCTCACCAGTAAGTCTCCGGCAGGGCTTTGTCTTAAACTCTGGTGGGAGGCCGGTCACTGGGTTAGGACCGTGGCTCTGAAACAGGGCGGCTTCAGGAAGCAGAAACTGGGTCTGATGCCATCCCACCTGTTTCAGACTCCCCCATGGCTCCTCTGTCCTCCGTCAAATCTCCATCCCGGCGTGCTCACATCCCCTGGCCGGGCAGGGTCCCTCAGCCCTCCTGAACAGCGCCCTGCTCCTGAGTGCCCCATGCCCTTTCTTGCTTCGGCACCGTGTTCCTCCACCTGACACTCCCCCCTCCTCTTATAACCCTGAGCACACTGTCATCACCCACTCACAGCTCCTCCCGTCTGCACTCAGCTCGGTAGGGTGGGCACTGCACTGTGCCAGTCACTTGCATGCCCAGCACCCAGCACAACGCCTGGCACAGAAGAGGTGCAGGCAGTACCTGCTGGGTGGACAGAGGGTGGCTGGGCTGTGCCCAGAGAAGGGGAGGGAAGGAGGGAGGGAGCCCACACTCTCCCGTGGGGCGTGGCTGTCCAGAGGGCGCGCAGCCGGGGGGGGGGGGGGGGGGGGGGTTTGGAGGCCGAGCCAGGCCCGGTATGGGAGGTCACTGCCAACCGCCACTGCCGCTCCTGTCCACAGTCTACGGCGTGGAGCTGTTCCTGAAGGTGGCGGGCCTGGGCCCCGTGGAGTACCTGTCCTCCGGCTGGAACCTGTAAGTGACAGTGTCTCTGAACCCCGTCTTGTGGAAGTCCCCACCCTTCCCACCCCCGTGGCTCTGAGACTCCCAGGGCTGGGCTCTGTCCTCCCCTTGGGCCACTGCAAACCCCCTCCCCCTCCTGCACATGCCCCAGGGTCCTGAGGCTGGTGGGCTCTTCGTGAGGCCTTTAAAAAAATTTTTTTTTAAATATACTGTATATCCCTTTGCACTCCGCTGTCCCCTCTCAGGGGACATCGGAATTCTAGCATATCACTCGGATGTCCCCTCTCAGGGGGGACATTGCAGTTTATTAGTGATTACGGGGAATTGAGTTAATTCAACGCACGTGTCCGCCGCAAAGTAGCGTCGAGTAGCTGGTAGCCAATGTCCAGAGTGGTTCGGAGTGCAAAGGGTATATTTATTGATTTTAGAGAGGAGTGGACAGTGAGTGAGAGAAACAAACATCCATGATGGCAGGGAGTCATGGATCGGCTGCCTCCTGCACACTCCACACCGGGGATCCAGCCGGAATCGAACCGTGACCTCCTGGTCTGTAGGTCGATGCTCACCCACTGAGCCACGCTGCTGGGCTCTTCCTGAGGCCTCAGCTTCCACACTGTGCCCAACATACCTAAGCCCTTTTCCATAAAACCATGCCGCCCTAGAGAAGCAGGCCTACCGCCTCGCCGGGCCCTCCTCCCGGCTCCACTGAGGCCCCCCGAGGTCCCTGTGGCCCCCTCGAGGCCTCCCCGTAGAATAGGGCTACACTCACAGGCCTCTGAGCGTGAAACAAGTCAGCGAGGGGAGTCCGGCAGTCAGCCTGGCTCCACGCTGACCTCGGGGCCCTCGGCCTTGGTCAGGGCTCACTGGTGTCCAGGTGGGGTCCCCTTGCCAACCCTGCCCCTTCACTCGTGACCTCGCCAGGGCAGGCGGCCACCAGTAGAACCAGCGTCTGCCTTAGATCCTCCAGGGGTGTGTTTTACGGGGGAGTTGGGGGGGGAGAGGAGGTGTGTGTTGTGATGGCAGCTGGCCACGTCGACCTCAGAAACCCAGGGCGGTGGGAAGCCGTGACCCACCTGGCCGGCCTGGGCCTCTGCGGGGCGGGCGCACTTGCTTTGCTGTGGGTGGCACTTGGGCTCCTTGGAAGGTGAGCCGAGCATGGGGCCGGGGCGCCAGCCGCGGTGCAGGAGGCTGCTGGGCCCACGGACCACTCTCCCTCTCCCTCCCTCCGAGGTTCGACTTCTCCGTCACAGCCTTCGCCTTCCTGGGCCTGCTGGCGCTGGCCTTCAACATGGAGCCCTTCTACTTCATCGTGGTCCTGCGGCCGCTCCAGCTGCTGAGGTGACGGGCCGGGCTGCGGTGGGGACAGGCGGGCCGGGGGCCCTGGGGTCTGGGGTCTGGTTGGGGACCGGAAAGGGCCAAAGCATCGAGCTGGGGCGGGGCCTGCAGTGCCCCTGGCACTGTCGGGGGGGGAGGTGCGGGGAGAGGGGAGGCAGCTCTCGGGCTCACCTTCTTCAGAGGCACCGCCGTGAGGTCCAAAGGGCTTTTGAGGGCCCCTTGCTTTTCTGGAACAGCCCCCAGGGTCATGCAGTGAAGCCGGCCGGGGCAGCACCCCTCCCCGCTGGGGGAAGCCCTTTGCGTTTTCATGAGCCTGGTTCCCTCTTGACTATTAGCTGCGATCGATCCCACACACATCCCTCCTCCTGCCCTGTCCCTCCTCCCGCTCTGTTCCTCCTCCCGCCTGTCCTCTCAGGAGGTTGGGGTCCAGGGCGGCATCTCTGTAGCAGAACCTGCTGCCACGCCCAGTGGTGGGGGCCCGGCCGGGCTAATGCCAGCTTCTCTCCCCGCCACCGCCACCCTTTCCTTCCCAGAGTCCAGGCTCCGGGCCCCCTGGGCTCTGCTCCCTTCTCTCTCTCTCTCGTGTTTGAGCAGGGCCTCACCGCCCTGAGCCTCAGGCTGCGTTTACAAACTGAACAGCCACACTGCCCCTCTCCCGCGGAAGGGCTGACCCCCAGCACGGCTCTGCGTCCCTGCGGGGACAGGCCTGTCCGGCCCCGTGTCCTGAGGGAGGGCCCCGGGCCTGCCTTCTGCCTGGTGCTGGGGGGGGGGGAGTGCGCTGCGGCTGCACCCCGTGTCAGGAAGTGACCCCCCTCCTTCCTCCTCAGGCTGTTCAAACTGAAGAAGCGCTACCGCAACGTGCTGGACACCATGTTTGAGCTGCTGCCCCGGATGGCCAGGTACTGCCCTGCCTCGGCCTCAGGGCCAGGCGTCCTGCGGCTTGTGCCCCCTTGGGGCGGGCAGCGGGCGGTAGGAGGGAGAGGAGTCCCGGAAAGGACTGGACTCGAGGGTTCTGCGGGCTCCGAGGCGGCTGACCTCTGGCAGCACAGGTCCCCCTGGCCCCGCTCCCCTCCGCCAACCTGCGAGATGCTAGTGGGACGGGCAGGGAGCGGTCCCTCACTCACCACCTGTGTCTGCTCCACAGGTAAGGGGTCGCCTGGGAGTCTGCCTCACAGGTAAGGGGGAAATCTCTGGTCAGGGGGCATCCGTTCAGAGTCCTCCTTCGGCTGTGCGCTAGCCCAGACCCGAGTCACGAGGCCCCTTCCCGCGGGCACTGCCCAGGCCGAGCGCCTGGCTGGGGGCACGCCTCTCACCCTGCGCTCCGTGGGTCAGGCGGGCAGCCGAGGGGGCGGGCTCTCGGCCGGCCCGCGGTCACCGTCTGCCCCTCCCGCAGCCTGGGCCTCACCCTGCTCATCTTCTACTACTCCTTCGCCATCGTGGGCATGGAGTTCTTCTGCGGGATCCTCTACCCCAACTGCTGCAAGTGAGTGTGTGCGGGGCCTCGGCGGGCGGCCCGGGCCCCTGGAATCAGTGCCCTGTGGTGCTTCCAGGGCTCGGTCAGTCTGTAGCTGAGTGAGGGTTGGAAGCAGTTATCTCTGCGGTGAGGGCGTCAGAGCAGTTTCCCTGTCCCCAGGCCTCCCTCAGCTCGCCCTTGGGGCTGAGGGCTGAGGCCTGATCCCATGGCTCACTTCCACGTCTCTCCAGGGGTGGCCCGTTAGGATAAGACAGACGGACACCCATGGGAAGGTCTGTGGGGACAGAGTGGAGAGCCTGCTCCCCATGACCCCTCCCTCCCTCCTCCCAGGATGACATGTGTCCTCTGCATGTTGGTCCCGTGTTCCCTTTAATATTGGGTCCTTCTGGCCTGGAGGCCGACAGAGCCTCAGAGACACCGGTGGCTGCTGGGAGTCAGGCTGAGCTCGGGGCGGCCGCCGAGGAGAGGGGTCCCAGGCACAGGCTGCTGCTTACAAGCTCAGGTTCCAGGCCTACAAGTCGGGTGCAGCGTGCACCTGGCGAGAGGCTCAGACTGCAGAAACATCACGTGGGTTTTAGCAGATGAGCCATCCAGGATTTAAATAAAAGTAGCCAGCCAGCTCAGAACAGAGGCAACCACCGCTGAGAAGGCCTGGCTGGTGCTGGAGCCGACAGGCCCTTTCCCCTCCTGGTGTGGCCCTCGCCTGCCTCAGCAAGCCCAGAGCCCGGAGGCAGGCACGGCCCTCCCAGCAGTGTCTCAGGGTGGCTGGGAGGGAGGAGGCGCGGCCGGCAGCAGAGGAATGCCCAGTGGAGGCGGATAAGGGGAATTAAGTGGTAGCGGCTGGAGGCAGCCAGAGGAGGGGGAGGGAGGTTGCTGGCAGGAAATAAGTTGGGCCAGGACAGTGCGCCCTGCTCAGACCTGGGTTTCCTCAAACATTCTGTCCTGTTGGGGCAACCCGCTGTCTGGTGACTGTTCTGCCCGTCTCCCCGGCCAGCACAAGCACAGTGGCTGACGCCTACCGCTGGCGCAACCACACAGTGGGCAACAGGACGGTCGTGGAGGACGGCTACTATTATCTCAACAACTTCGACAACATCCTGAACAGCTTCGGTGAGTGCAGAGATCCCGGGGCGGGGACACACACACACACACACACTCCCTAGGCCTTAGCCCGCAGGCCCCAGAGGCCGAGAGCAGGGCTGCCTGCGGCCTCTCCCTCCCCTGCTGTTGGCCCCACGGTCTCGGTCCCTTCTGACCCAGAGGGAGTGTGTGAGGCCGGGCTTAGGGGTGCGGGCCAGGCTGGCTCACGCAGCCGCCGGCCGGGTTACTCCTTTGCGGATAACCTTAGTGTCAGGGGGCAGAAGAGCTTCATGCTTTGCAGGGAGGGGTCCAGCCTGATGCCAGGACACCACCCCTCGCCCACCACAGTGCCCTTTCATGGCTCAGAGGAGGCCACACCGCCCTGCTCCGGGTCCTGTGGAGGGGATGGGGATGGGGGGGCAGGGGGATGGGGATGGGGGGGCAGGGGGATGGGGATGGGGTGGGCGGGGGAGTGGAGGGATGCGGACAGGCAGGCCTGACACAGCTTCTCGAGGTCAGGGAGAGCCTCATGCACCCCAGATCTGCACCGATGAAGGTCCATGTGCTCCTTCCCCACCCCAAGCCCTGGCCCAGCCCCAGGCTGCGGGCAAAGGGCACACCCTGCTGGGGACGGGCAAGGCGGCAGCAGCCTGTGGTGGGCGCCCGGGGAGCCCAGGCTGGCGATGGGGACGCCTCATTTAGGTGCCTGGTGCCCGGCACCTCTGACTCTGAAACGGTGGGTCTGATCACGGTGCCTTCCCCCTTCCCTTTGGCAGTGACCTTGTTCGAGCTCACAGTTGTCAACAACTGGTACATCATCATGGTAAGGACCTTGGCCAGCCCCTGGGGACGCTGTCCCCTCACCCTCTGGGGCCAGCTCTGCGTCTCCCTCCACCCCGTGTGGGGTGCATTGCCCTTCCCATTGCCTGCGGGGGTGGCGTTCTGCAGAGGAGCATTCCTCGGCTGGACATGGCCTTTGTCCCAGCTCCCTACCCCCCAGCAGCCAGGGGATGTGCCAGCCTCTGGCCTCCTGCCCACCGGGGAGACTTTCCAGTCAGGGACCAGTGTGGCAGGATTTCCTTCCCTAAACTCTTCCACGTGCACCCCGACTCGGGGCAGGCTCAGTCCTGGGGACCATCCAGGCCCCTGCAGCAGAGGAATTTTAGATCCTGGGACCCGTGTCTTCCTTAATGGGGGGTGGGGGGGATGGTGGAGATACTGTAAAGAGCCCAGCAGTGCCGGGGCCACAGGAAGCCTAGTGGACAGCGCCCCCCAGGCCGCTCACTGCGTCCTCTGCCTCCAGGAAGGCGTCACCTCTCAGACCTCCCACTGGAGCCGCCTCTACTTCATGACCTTCTACATCGTGACCATGGTGAGTCTGGGCCCGGACGCGCCCCCTCCATCCGGGCTTCCAGCTGCCCTGCGCATTGGGCGGCAGCCGGAGAGGACAGGGCTGGGACGGGTCCGTGCGGCTCTGCCCGGGGCCAAAGCAGCGCCCACCCCTTCCTGTCTTTCCCCCCACCCCGTGCCGGCCAGGTGGTGATGACCATCATCGTGGCCTTCATCCTCGAGGCCTTCGTCTTCCGAATGAACTTCAGCCGCAAGAACCAGGACTCGGAAGGTCTGTGCCAGGGGCAGGCGCCTGCGCTGCCGGCTGCCCGGCTGTCTGTCTGCCCTGCAGCTCAGCTCACGTGTGTGGTTGTCTTTCTAGCTCTCTCACTGGTAGTCAGTGACAGGCACACGCTCTCCATCTCATTTTTCAAAGAAAAACAATATACATCACAGTTTAAGAAAACCCCACACCCGAGGCAGGCTTCTGGTGTACCCCACCGGCCGTCCCCTGTCCCCTGGGCTGCTCACTTAGCCTCCGCTCAGCCGCTGTCTCCGCTTCTAACCTCCACTCTGAGGTCCTGGGCCCCTGCAGACCGCGGGGCCATAGCTCTCCTGCTGGGAGGTCCCAGCTCCCCTGACCGCCTCGCGCCTCCCAGGGGCACAGCTCTCTGCATCTGACCCCCATCCTTTCCACACTCTCCTCCCTCCACATGGCCACAAACCTGTTTCTACTTGTTTCCAAGTCTACCTATCAGGCTGTCTGACCCTTTTTTATAACATGTCATTTTAAAATAGATTTTTAGGGAGAAGGGGGGAGAGAGAGAGAGAGAAACATCAATGAGAGAGGAACATCGCTCAGCTGCCTCCTGCACACTGGGCATGTGCCCTCACTGGGAATTGCATCAGGGACCTCATGGTTCCTGGTCCGTGCTCAACCACTGAGCCACACCAGCCAGGCTGACCCTTTCCTTTTTGCTTGGAGGCTGCCTCCGAAACCCTGTCCCCTGTGAGCTGCTGTCCCGCCCACCGATCCTCACACCCACAGCAGAGGGAGGGAAGGAGGGAGGGGCAGGAGAGGGGCCTCAGGACCCTGTAGGGACGGCAGGAGGAGGGCTGGCGAGGCCTCTGAGCCCGGGTGCCTCCCCCGCTGCAGTTGACGGTGGTATCACCGTGGAGAAGGAACTGTCCAAGGACGAGCTGCTCGCCATCCTCAAGCTGTCCCGGGAGGCGCGGGACGCGGCCGCCGACGTCCCCCGGCTGCTCAAGGTCCTCTCCCAGATGGAGAGGAACGAGGTGAGGCTGGGCCCATCGGGGCAGGAAACCCGGCCGGGAGGAGGACACCCACCCCCACCGTCAGCCCCTCGAGGTCTGGTGACACTTCGGAGGCATCGGAGCAAAAGCCAGAGGAGCGGCCAAGGCTGGGGGGTTGGGGGGGGTGGGGGGCGCGGGGGAGCCCGGGCCTGGCACGGGGGCCTGCAGCCTCTGCTCCTCCACAGCAAAGCGCCGTGGTGTTCCTGGGACGGAGGTCCCGGACCAAGAGTGACCTGAGCCTGAAGATGTACCAGGAGGAGATCCGGGTAGGAGCGCCCGCCCCGCCGCCCTGGGTGACACGGCCCCTCCCAGGTCCAGCCAACTCTGCCCATCGAATGAGGCCTGCTGTGCCCAGCGGGTCTCTGGGTGTTTTTTTTTTCTTCTTACTGTTTGGTTTTTTTCTAATTTAAGAGAAGGGAGAAGTCAATTTTGTTTTGTTTTGTTTTTTTACAAACGCGCCCCTTTTCCCCACACTGCGAGCTGAGTCAGACGTCTGACCTGGCACCACGTGGCCCGCACGCTGTGTCCCAGACAGGACAGAGCCACTGGCCACGGGCTGCGGTGGAGGGGCCTGGGTTCGCCCTCCTGCTCGGGGTCCCGGGGTCCCGGGGTCCCGGGAGGGTCTCCCTGGCAGCAGCTGCCTCCTTTCCTGGCGTTCTCACAGCGGGAACCCGGTCTGCCATTGCTCACGCCCCAAACTGAGAGGCTGCAGGGCACTGGGTGGCACAGGGGCATGGGTCAGCGGGAGCTCTGGTGTCCGTACCCTGTCCATCACCCCAGCCTCAGTTTCCCCTCTGTAAGATGAGGGGGCACGGAGCTAGGCCATCTTGGTGTTTTAGGCTTTCATATTGTGGTTCAGATTCTAAATCTAAACACACAGTGCGTTTGTAATTCCTTAATCACCTGACTACCCCTGTCCCCGAAAATGTCAGACAATGGCCTGAGGCCGGTGAGCCGCTTCGTTTTCCTCAAACTGCTTTCACAGCGGGAGGTGTGAGAGGCCCTGGGCCCCGTTGTGGGTGGGGGGCTGGCAGCTCACCTCCTCCGTCCTGGGTGGTCCCCAGCCCCACAGGCAGAGGCCGGAGGCCCCGCACTGCCGGCCTGGTGCCTGTCAGGCTGGAGGCGCAGGGCGGGCTGGGAGGGGTGCAGCCACTGAGCGCCGCCCCCCCCATCTGCCCTGTGCCCTAGGAGTGGTACGAGGAACACGCCCGGAAGCAGGAGCAGGAGCAGTCGGACGGCAGCGGTGCCCCCGCCACCCAGCAGCCCCCAGGCAGCCGCCAGCGCTCGCAGACCATCACCTAAGCCAGCTCGCTCCTTCCCGGAAGCCATCTCTCTATGCAATAACACATAGCACTATTTTACTACGATGTATCGGGATAACGTGCATATATACCTATGCACACGTCCACATATATGCACCTATTTATAGGCAGCGGAGAAGACAGGTGGGGTTTGGTCTGTCACCTCCTGGCCCTGTCTTCCTTAACTCCGGGAGCCAGTTTGCTCTGGGCGCAGCCAGGCAGAAAGCGCTGGGACGGACTCTGCCCCCTCCGCGGGCTGGCCCTCCGGCCTCCCCAGGCCACACTCACACCCACGCCTTCCTGCCGCCTCCAGGCCCCGTCCCAGCTGACAGCTTCCCCCCTCACTTCCTCCGCGGCCATGCACGGGTTTCTGTCTTGCTTTAGGGACAAAACCACTTACGGGACAGAAATACTGGGATTCGTATCTCTCTATAGGGTCATGTCACGGGACAGTCCTTCGGGACCTGTGCCTACGACCTAGTGGGAAGTGGAATCGGGTGTGACTAGACCACGTGGTCCGGCCTCAGCTGGTGAGCGCCTGGCTCTAAGCCTTCTGTCCCACCCCCCTTTTGGCTAGGTTTCTGCTCTTGTTGCCGAAAATCCTAACAGCCTCAGTTGGAATCCAGGCCCAGTACCAAGGGGGGGAGGGGGGGAAAGCATGGGGGTTGGGGGAGAGGAAAAAGCAAGGGTGAGGCCAATGGCTACACCCAGACCCATTCCTGCAGCGGCTTTCTCCGCTAAGCCCCTCCCCCTGCCTGTGACTGTGCTGTCCAGGCAGAAAGCTGTGCGGGTTCCTCAGGATTCTGCTCAAGACAGCACATTCTTTCATGCTGTGCGTTAGGTTCAGGCCTCACTGGGAGGAGTGGGTGGTACCGAAGCGGGTCCGAGTGAACCCACAGCTCGCCGAGTCCCCCTGGTACCTGGGGAGCTGTCTGGGGTCAGTGTGGGTGGGGTGGGATCGGTGCTAGAATCCAGAGCAGGCTGTTGGGGTTGGCAGCCCCAGTGAGGGCATAGCAGGGTCAGAGGGGGGGGAGGGGGGGGAGGGGCAGGCCTGACCCTGGGTACAGCACCCAGCACCCCTCACCCCCTCCAGGGGTGATCCCCAGAACCCACGCTGCACAGCTCTGCCCCTCAGGGGGAGAGGAGTGGGCATTATTGTTCAAGCACAGCCCTTTGGGGACACCAGGAAGGCAGATTCCCACAGGGGGCAGGAGGCTGGCGGCCTCTGTCGGGGGCCATCAGCCAGCTGGGCGCTGGGCACTGGGCTCAGGCCAGAAGCTCTCCACCTCCTGAGAGGAAACGTATTTGCACAGCCGGGTGCCTTGTAGCTTTTGTACTGAAATGGCATTTCGGAAGCAGGGGGTCTCCAGCTGAGCCTCGGCCCCATCCTAGCCCTTCCTCTGCCCGCAGGGGCCGAGGACCTGGGCAGGGCACCGGGGCCCTGAGCCCACAGTGAGGGCCGGCAGGGGAGGGCAGGGTCTAGTCTAGGGGTGTCGAACTCAATCAGAGAAGGGGCCAAAATCTAAAATCCAGCCTAAATCGCGGGCCGAATGGTTTACTGAACAGTCATAAACTGTCATTGTGATGGAAACGCAGCGGAGTGCAGTGATGACAGCGCGGTGCGGGCCACATTGCAAGGCCTGGCGGGACGGATTTGGCCCACGGGCCTTGTGTTTGACACATGTGGTCTAGTCTGAACCTGCACTAACCTGCCTAGTGCAGCCACTGGTCGGCGCCTTGGTCACTGAGGCCGAGGACAGCAGTCCCCAGGGTCTCCTACGGCCTGGTCAGGCCGGTCCTCACACCCGCACACGGTGCAGGGAGCAGGCGGCCCAGGGCTGTGAGCTCTGCGGGACCCGGGACATCACGCAGCCCAGGCGCCCTCCCTCCCCACTCAGCTGAGCAACCACGCCGAGACCGAGCTGCCCTGGGTCAGAGCAGCCTGTCTGACCGTCACGGCCCCTCCTCGCCCCCTCCTTCCCCCCAGCCCCAAGCCTTACTCCACGTCACGCGACAATCATTTTGTACGGATCGCAGGAACGGCCCTGTGTGGTTTTGTACGTTGGTGATTTGTTACCGGGAAAGCCCTCGGCGTCTCCGGGCTTCTGGCACATTAATAAAAGCGCCTCTGCTTTGTACGTGTGGCTGCCGCCTCCTCACATTCTGGTATCGTGGGGGAGGGGGGGGGTGCAGGGAGGCCCCGTTCCCGACCCCAGCGCAGTCCCACCCCCACATGTGCCCCGAAGCTCATGCATTAGGCCCAAGGACCTTCCACCTTCAGCCCTGGAACTGGACACCTGAAATATTTAATAACTTTTTGCTGGGAAAAAAGATAACAGAATCCCTGTCACGAGGCAATGGGCAGGTTATTCAGTTGCTCACCGGAGCAGGGCACTGACGGCAGAAGGTGCTGGGGGTGGGAGGGGGTGCGGGGGCACTGGGACCCCAGCCCAGGCTCCCCCTGAGGTGGGCACAAGGCACAGGTTTTTTCCCTCCGGTTTTGCAGCCGGGAAAACAAGGTGTAGGACACGCGTTTTACCTTCAGCCGGCGGGTGGGCCCGGCGGTGGGAGCTAGAGCTGTACCGTCAGCGTGACAGCCGTGGGCAGATAGCCGGGAGCTTTTGGGTTCAGTAAGACACATCACAGTGGAATTTGCACCTGTTGCTTTGGGCTTTATTAACATGGTGACTAGAAAATTCCAAATGAGATACGTGTCCCATTCCGATTCTGTCAGACGGTGCAGCTCTAGGATTCAGCCCACGACGGCCTGGCACCCTGTCCGCAGGTCCCACCACCCTGAGCCCCTAAGCCTGGCTTTGGCAGCATAAACCCTGAGAAGATGCAGGCGGGCGGGCGGGCGGGCGGCAGGGACACCCGTGGGGGCAGGAACACCCGTGGGGTGGGGCTGGGCCTCGGCCTCTTACTTGCCTCCAGCCCTGAACACGTCCCAGTCCTTCCAACACCAGCCTGGACGGCACCCAGTCACCCCTACACCCCAGCCTTCCAGAGGCTCCAGATAATCCAAGGAAGTCTCCTTCCTTCTGCCTGAGGCTGTCCACCCAGGCAAGGCCAGCCTCCAAAGCCCCAGATAGGAGGCTCGGCGTCCTCCCTGCACTCAGCAGTGCCTGGGAACCTCTAGCAAAGCGAGCGACCCCACGTCCAGCCCACACCTCACTCCCCGCCACGCATGGGTCTCCACAGCATCCTCCTCCATCTTCCAGCTCGCCGCCTGCAGTGACACCTCCCGGCCGCCAGGTGGACCCGGCGCGCAGCTTCCCTCACACACTTTTCAAGTGAATCACCCCAAATTCGGTGAGCAGGGCCACCAGGAGGAAGCTCACGTAGAAGAGGAGAAGGCAGCAGCCGTAGGTCTTGCTCAGCTGGAAGCACTGCAGCGGGACCGCCACCAGCGAACAGACGAGGCTGAGGCCCAGGGCGCCCGCCAGGACCCACACCAACAGTCCATCCGGCTCCAGCTGCAGAGGGGGCGGGACGAGGGAGAGAGGCCAGGTCACTACCACACCCGTCAGTCAGTCAAACCGATGCCTGAGAGCCCCTTGCTAGGGGCCGGCGAAGGCCTGCCCCATGGACGGCTTGCCCCCACCCGGACCGGCAATGTGTGAAGCCGTCTAGTTTTGTGGGAGGCAGTTAGACGTGAGCAGAGCAAGGACAACGGGCCAGGTACAGAAGGTCACTGTGTGGGAAGCCCAGGTGCCTAGCAACAGACCATCAGTTGTAGGTGGGACCTGCCCCAGGGGGACATTCCTCCCCTGGCCAGTGCTGGCCTGTGCAGGCCGTGCTGGTCACAGGGTTCAGACCAGGTCCCCGGACCTTCCTCCGTGGAGGTTAACACCCAGGCCTCAGCTGTAGGTCAGCTCCAGGCCCAGATCAGCACCCAGCCAGCCCCGGCTGAGGCTGAGGCCAGGGCCAGCTGCAGGCAATAATGACCCTGCCCTGGGCACGCCAAGCAATCAGCGGACCGCGACCCTGAAAGGGCACCCCTGGAAAGCTGCTGGATATGCTACGATCTCCCTTAAAACTGCCACCCTTCAAACCCTGAGCGTGGTCCTACCTGACTTAGCTCAATGGTTAGAGCGTTGACCTAGGGCTCCGGGGTCCCAGGTTCCATTCCGGTCAAGGGCACGTACCTTGGTTGCAGGTTTGATCCCAGGCTCCGGGCTGGGGGGTGTGTGGGAGGCAACCGGTCGATGTGTCTCTCTCACATCATTTCTCTGGGTGCGTCCCCCCCCGAATTCTTTAAAAAATCAATTGAAAAAAATGTCCTCGGGTGAGGATTAAAAAAACGGAAAATCCCTCTAGGACGGAAAACCCGTGTGCTCTCCGGCTCTCGCTTCCCCACTCCCACCAGGAAGCGCGCCTGCGCCTTCCCTTTTCCCCACCCCTTCCTCCTCCTTCTCCTCCTCCCGCCTCCCTACCAGGTGTGTTACCTTTAACCTCCTCACTCCCGAGCGAAAGGGCCCTTCCTTTACCTCTATAACCTGCTTCCTAAGCCTAATTCCTTTAAAAAAAACAAAAAACAAAAAACTTTTATTGATTTTAGAGAGGAAGGGAGAGGTGGAGAGAGAGAGAAACATCAATGATGAGAATCATTGATCGGCTGCCTCCAGCAGGCCCCCTGCTATGGATTAAGCCCGCAACCCGGGCACGTGTCCTGACCAGGCATCGAGCTGTGATCTACCTCCTGGCTCATGGAACGACATCAACCACTGAGCCACGCCGGCCCGGCCTAAGCCCATGTATCCTAGGAGTCCTTCTGTCTCTGATTTACCGAGGAAATGATCTCTTACAGTTTGGGTCTTGGCTCTGAATTCTTTCCCAGCCAGAACCAATGGCGAGACTGCTGATCCCAGGTTGGCTGGGACCCAGCCGGTCAGAGACCAGGTGCGTTCCCGCAGCCTGAACAGTTTGCTCATCCGTTAGGGTGGCCTAGGGCACAGGTACGATACGCTGGGTATACACCATGTGACATAGAGAATTCTCCAGCGGTCCAGAAAAGGAAGTGAAACTGCCCCCACCTGCCCTCTCTTCTTCCTGCACTTAGCGTGTGTCTAACACAGGCCGAGGGTTTCACGCTCACTCAGCTTCCATCTTCACAACCACCCCCGAGGGGCACGTCCCGGCCACGGGGGGGAGACTGAGTCATCAGTAAGCGACAGAGCCCTCGTGGATGTCCAGCTCTTAGCCCGTACCTGTCCTGCCCCCCACAGGGACACACGTACAAGCCCACACAGGCGGGCACACACAGGTGGGGGCGCACAGACACAGACTGTGCGAAGATCTGAGAGCGGGGCTTGTACAGCAGTGAGCGGTTATGGGCACTCACTGCTGTTTTGTTTCCCCCCCAATTTCATTACTTTTCAATCCTCACCTGAGAATATTCCTTCCATTGATTACTAGAGATAGTGGAAGGAAGAGAGGAGCGAAATGGAAGGGAGGGAGCAGAGAGAGGGGGAGAGAGAGAGAGAGAGAGAGAGCGAGAGCGAGAGAGAGAGAGAGAGAGAGAGAGAGAGAGAGAGAGAGAGAGAGAAACATTGATTGGTTGCCTCTCGCACAGCCCCCACCAAGCCTTGGGAACCTGCAACAGAGGTCCGTACCCCTGACCAGGATGGAGCCCGAGAGAGACCGTTTGGTCCACTGAGTCACACCGGCCAGGGCAGGCTCCCAGCATTTTCCATCCACCAGTGCTCCCTCCGCGGGCGTCCTTCCCAGACGGCCCCCCCAGGAGCCTGCCTGGCGTCTCAATGAACAGTGGGGCAGTTTCTATACACAGAGCTGATGGGAGCACACACACAGAGCTGGTGGGATGCACACACACAGAGCTGGTGGGAGCACACACACAGAGCTGGTGGGATGCACACACACAGAGCTGGTGGGAGTACACACACAGAGCTGGTGGGAGCACACACACAGAGCCGGTGGGAGCACACACACAGAGCCAGTGGGAGCACACACACGGAGCTGGTGGAGCACACACACGGAGCTGGTGGGAGCACACACACAGAGCTGGTGGGAGCATACACACACAGAGCCGGTGGGAGCACACACACACACACAGCCGGTGGGAGCACACACACAGAGCAGGTGGGAGCACACACACACAGAGCTGGTGGGAGCACACACAGAGCTGATGGGATGCACACACACAGAGCTGGTGGGAGCACACACACAGAGCTGGTGGGAGCACAACACACGGAGCTGGGGGAGCACACACACAGAGCTGGTGGGAGCACACACACAGAGCTGGTGGGAGCACACACACAGAGCTGGTGGGAGCACACACACACAGAGCTGGTGGGAGCACACACAGAGCTGATGGGATGCACACACACAGAGCTGGTGGGAGCACACACACGGAGCTGGTGGGAGCACACACACGGAGCTGGTGGGAGCACACACACAGAGCTGGTGGGAGCACACACACAGAGCTGGTGGGAGTACACACACAGAGCTGGTGGGAGCACACACACAGAGCTGGTGGGGTGCACACAAACACTCCAAGCAGGGGGCGGAGCCGCCCTAAGGCCCCCTTCCCTGCACCAGCCTGAGCATCGATGAGGAAAGGAACCTTCAGAGCCACGAAGAGTACCAGCACATCTGGGCGTGTGTTCGCCTTTGAGGAAGGCCGCTCTGCCAGCAGGGTGAGCCGCCATTGCTTCCGGCGTGGCCCTCCTGCCGGCTCCCTGCCGGGCAGCAGCCACTGAGGCTCCTCGGGACTCAGAGCTGTGAGAAGGCGGGGCCTGTGCTCCCGCCAATATGCCACCTCAGCCTCCAGACACTCCCCGTGCTCCCACTCGCTGAGCCCCCAAACCATCCCGCGGCCATCCCCGTCTGTCTCTGTCCTCCCAGCCCTCCTGTGGTCTCCTAACGCCCAGCCTTCGGAATGGAGGTGCTGGGACAGGGGTGCCACCTGCGGCCTTGCTCCGAGCGCTGTTTGTCCTGCGCAATGTTTTAGTTTTTTCTAAATGTTTTCATTGATTTTAGAGAGCGAGGAAGAGAGAAGGATAGAGAGAGAAACATCCATGAGAGAAACATCATCCATCGGCTGCCTCCTGCTCACCCCTCTCCCCCCCATCCTGCCCCTCACTAGATAGGACCTCCTGGTTCATAGATAAGGTGACCAGACATCCCACTTTTGGAAGGACAGTCCCAATTTTTAACAATTTGTCCCGCATCCCACAGCATTTTTTAAAAAGTCCCGATTTTTGGAAGGATTCTTATTCATAGACGAATGCTCAACCGCTGAGTCACACCAGCTAGGCCAGTATTTTAAAACAGCGAAAGTTCACCTAGGAACCTCGATTTCTTCTCTAAAAAGCCTGGCTCTGGCCGAAACCGGTTTGGCTCAGTGGATAGAGCATTGGCCTGCAGACTGAAAGGTCCCAGGTTCGATTCCGGCCAAGGGCATGTATCTTGGTTGTGGGCACATCCCCAGTAGGGAGTGTGCAAGAGGCAGCTGATCGATGATTCTCTCTCATCGATGTTTCTATCCCCCTCTCTTCCTCTCTGTTAAAATCAATTATATATATATATATACATATATATAAAATAAAAAGCCTGACTCTGTCCCCGTGAGGCCCACCTGAACAGGCCAGACGCTTCCATCACCTGCCTGCCCGGCCAGCAGTACCTGAATGTCCCACCTGAGAACTGAGTCCCTCAAGCGTCCTGCCCTCACCAGCCGGCAGGGAACTTCCTGACATGCAGCCGCCGGCCGCCCCCTGGCATGCCCGGGTCTGGGGGTCTCTCGGAGGCCCTCGGGGAATTCTCGGATCCTCTCGAAGTGTGAGACCGTTGACCCTCGGTGTGTTTCAGAACCTTCTCCAAATCCGCTGGCTCCCCATCCTAGGGCTGTCTCCAACCGATGGCACCTCCCCTCTGTCTCCCGGCCCATCCACCCCGTGTGGGCAACGCTGTGCTCAGCCCGGCCCTCGCCCCATGGGTGCTCATCAGGAAGTGAGGGGAGAGGGTGTGGTGGGTGGCATCATCAACCCCATTTCACAGGTGAGGAAGCTGAGGCTCAGAGATGCCCTAACTCATCCAAAGTCACAGAGCGAGAGACCTAACGGGTGGGACCGACACCTGAATGCAGAGACCTCCTGCCCCTTTCCCCTAAGCTACACCTTAGCACTCCGAGAATCTGGAAGGAATGCATCTCCTCCAACCCCACACGCAGAACGTTTTAAAGAGATTCTACCCGTCAGACTGGTCACAGGTTTAACCTAGTCCTCTCCGGGGAAGTGTGAAGTGCTCAGGTGTGAGTCACCTGCTAGTCAGCTGACGGAGGGGGAGTGGGGAAAGAAGAGGAGGAGGAGGAGGAGGAGGAGGGAGAGGAGGAGGAGGGGACATGGTAAGGAGGTCCGCTGCAGAGGGTCTGGCCACTCACCTTCACCTCCGCGTGGCCCCGGGAGATCTGCAGCAGGCAGCCCAGGCCCACGCCCACCAGCACGTCTGCAGCCTGGCTCAGGAAAGGTGCTGGGACCACCCCGTACCCCGACCACACAGCCATGGGCTTTCTCTATGATCTACACCCCCACCCCCGGCCCCCCACCCCCCACCCGAGAGGCCTCAGCCAGGGTTAGCGCCTCTCGAGGGCGAGTGTCCAGCGGGCATTTGCACACGATCCCTGAGGACGGAACGAGTGGCAGAGATGCTTGGCACCCGGTGGGCACTCAGCAGGTGGGGAAACTGAGGCCAGGCTAAGCGAAGTGACCGCCCATGGGCCGCTGGGGGGCTGGGGACGGAGCACGGGTCAAGGCCACCTCTAGGGACTGCTCAGGGGACACTGCTCAGGCAGGGCACCCCCCTTCCCACCCCATCCTGAGAGGTCAGAGCCGGGCTCAGCGGGAACGGAAGGGCCCCTGGGGTTACAGCCCCGAGGGTGGGCGGGCGCAGGACTGGGGAGGCTCGGGCCCCGGGAAGGATACTGAAGATGATGCCACCGAAGCAGGCGGAGAACGCCATCCGGGGGTAGCCCTGGCGGGCCAGCGTGAAATCGGAGAAGACGTCTGCGTGGAAACGAGAGGAGGCCGGCGTGGTGAGTGAGGCCCGGGCCCTCCTGGCCACTCCCTCCTTCCTTCTCACCCACAGTCCTTCAGCCGGCAAACACGGACACATGCCCCCCGCCTGGCTCTGAGAGGCCACAGCGGCCCCTGAGACACGGTTCGATCCTGCAGTCCTTCACCCCCTCTTCTGAGCAGAGGCAGCTTTGTGGTGTGACATGCAACCACCGATTTCCACCCGAGTCCCCGCATATTCGGCATCTCCATGCAAATGAGGTGTCTCCATGCAAATGAGGTGTCTCCATGCAAATTAGGAAAAGGTGAGTGAGAGGAGATTTCAGCCTCCCAACACCTTCTTTGGTCACAACCTGGCCAGCTGTCGTGCATCCGACTGGGCGGCTGCAGCTAGAGGACTGTGTGTGTGTGTGTGTGTGTGTGTGTGTGTGTGTATGCATGTGCGAACACCTACACAGGCCACACACCCACGCACACGCCCTGCCTGACTCTGGGGAACCACAAGCCTCCAAGCACGAGAGGGGAGCAGCTCTGGGTTCTACAGACTCTCCTGGCTCAGAGCCTCCCGATGCCCAGTGATGGTCACTCCGAAAGGTCAGGGGGGCCGTGGCCGCTGTGATTCAGCTGGTTGAGCGTCATACCACATACTGAGAGGTAGTTGGTTCAATGCCCAGTCAGGGCACATGCCCAGGTTGTGGGCTCCATCCCCAGTAGGAGGTGTGCAGGAGGCAGCTGATGGATGATTCTCTCTCATTGATGTTTCTCTCTCTCTCTCTCTCTCTCTCTCTCGGTCTCTCTTTCTCTCCTCTAATCAATAAAAACGTATTTAAAAATAAATAAAAAATGTCAGCAGCACTAAGCACACGCTGAGGGAAGTGCCCTGGACATCCCTGCCCACTGCCATTGTGGCTGGGGCAGCAAAGGGCAGGGATGTGTGCTCACCGCCCCCTCTCCGCCCCCCGGGCCCCGGTCACCTCCGATGCTGTTCCCCCAGGCCAGCAGCGTGAGGCCCAGCACGGTGTTGCTCAGCCGGAAGACCACGCCCAGCGCCCGCAGGATGTTCACCACCTCCGTGGCGGCCGCGTTGATCCACAGGGCGCTGGTCAGGAAGCCCAGGAAGGCGAAGGCCTGGGGAGGGGACAGCGTGCGGGTGGGACCGAGGCCGCCCCCAGCGGGGCCACAGCCTCAGCTCCTCTGTAAAACGGGGCGATGGCAGTACCCACTTCATGGGGTTGTCATGCGTGTACGATGAGTTAATGGATGCAAAGAAACCAGAGCCAAGCACACAGTCAGTACTTGATAAAACGTTAGCTGAGCCGGGACCGGTTTGGCTTAGTGGATAGGGCGTCGGCCTGTGGACTGAAAGGTCCCAGGTTCAATCCCGGTCAAGGGCATGTACCTTGGTTGCGGGCACATCCCCAGTAGGGTGTGTGCAGGAGGCAGCTGATCGGTGTTTCTCTCTCTCTCTCTCTCTCTCTCTCTCTCTCTCTCATCAATGTTTCTAACTCTCTATCCCTCTCTCTTTCTCTCTGTAAAAGATCAATAAATGTATATATTTTTTAAAAAGTTAGCTGAATATTGATATTTTGTGAAGAAGAGGTTCCCATAGCTTTCATCAGATTTCTGCTCTATGGGCCAGATGCCACGGATCGCCACAAAAAGAAGCTCGCTGCCCTGGCCGGTGTGGCTCAGTGGGTAAGCGCCGGCCTTTGGCCTGAAGGGTCCCAAGTTCCATTCCAAAAATCGGGACTTTTTTAAAACGCCGCGGGACGCGGGACAAATGGTTCAAAATCGGGACTGTCCCGCCAAAAGCGGGACGTCTGGTCACCTTACTTTAAAGACCGGTCATTGCGGAAAGGGACTCCTGGCCCAGCGACCCCAGAGGCGCAGACAGGACGTCGGCCGGGGAGTCCTCAGCGCCCCCTCTCCCCGCCCGGGGACCCCGGCATCCTTACCCAGTGGAGCCTGGGGGGCTCGCTGTTGGAAGTGGCGAAGAAGGTCACCGCAGCCACGGCCGTGCCCGCGATCACCACCACGCCCCAGACAGGGACGAGGCCGCCTATCTCATAGACGCCGTCTGCAGAGGGAGGAGGAGGGGAGCCGTGACGCCTCCTCCCGGAGGCCCCCCAGGACGACGGGGGGCGCCGGGGGGTGGGACAGGACTGGGGAGGCTGGGGTCCCTTACACCAGCACGCAGTAAGTGCCTCTGGGCGCCCAGGATTCTGGTGGGCCACGGGATGCAGGGAGGAGGGGAGGAGGGCTGCGGGCTGGCCTGGTGGGGGGGGGGGTACTCACAGGCCCCCGACTGCAGCGTCAGGACCAGCACCAGGGGGCTGATGGCCAGCTGCAGGCAGTTGAGGGGCCGCTTCCAGTTCCTGTCCTCCTTGTCGGGGTCCACCAGGGGGACAGTGAGGAGCAACAGCAGCTCCGCAGGCAGCTGCCAAGTCCGGGAAAGCGGGAAGCGGTCACCGGGGAGACCCGGCCTGGGCTGGTTGCACCCAAGCTAATTTCTCAAGGTTGTTTTTAAGTTTATTTTATTTATTTATTTTTTAAATATTTTTATTGCCGAAACTGGTCTGGCTCAGTGGATAGAGCGTCAGCCTACGGACTGAAGGGTCCCGGGTTCGATTCCGGTCAAGGGCATGTGCCTCGGTTGCGGGCACATTCCCGGTGTGGGGTGCGCAGGAGGCAGCTGGTCGATGTTTCTCTCTCATCAGTGTTTCTAGCTCTCGATCCTTCTCCCTTTCTCTCTGTAAAAAAATCAATAAAATATATTAAAAAAATATATATATTCTTATTGATTTCAGAGAGGAAGGGAGAGAGAGACACAAACATCAATGAAAGAGACTCGTTGATTGGCTGCCTTCTGTAAGCCCCAACTGGGAATCGAACCGTGACCTCCTGGGTCATAGGTCAATGCTCAACCATGGAGCCACAGCCAGCTGGGCTTGGTTTCTCAAGGACATGGCTACATTGCCCGGATCAGGCTCCTGCTGCATCACATTCACACACACACACACACACACACACACACACACACACACACACATCGCTGCCCTGGGACCATGCAGACCTAGTCCCTCTGTCTCTGGGGGACGGAATTCTAAAACCAGAGCTCCTGCGAAACCGGGTGGCTCAGTGGATAGAGCGTCGGCCTGCGGACTGAAAGGTCCCAGGTTTGATTCCAGTCGAGGGCATGTGCCTTGGTTGCGGGCACATCCCCTCTAGGGGGTGTGCAGGAGGCGGCTGGTCGATGATTCTCTCTCATCGATGTTTCTAACTCTCTATCCCTCTCTCTTCCTCTCTGTGAAAAATCAATAAAATATATTTTTAAAAAAAGAAAAACTCTATCTTGTTCTCACTGGAACCCACCTGGACCCAGTCTGCCACCCAGACCCAGGTCCCCGCCCTCAGCCAGGCAGGAGGGGTGCCCTCCTCTCTCTCCCCGTCCCTGGGCAGACGCTCTCCTCCCCGTGGGGGACTGAGCCCCAGGGCAGGCCATCAGCCAACCTCGAGGACTCAGTTTCCCCACCAAGTCCCCGGTTGTCTAACTCCAGGAGGGCCTCAGCAGTGCTCGTTGAGTCAGAGAAGGCTGAGTGGGCTCCGTCGCGCAGCCAGGCGCCCCGTTCCGGGCCCCCTCCTACCTTGAGCACCTTGAGGACCCTCCAGTAGGCCGGCTTGCTCCTCCACTTCCTGCAGTCCAGCGGGTTGAGGGCCTGGACCAGGATCTGAGCTGTGGTCTCCTGGTAGAAAAGCAGCGGCTGGTACTCTTCCCCTGGGGTACAAGGGGGGGACGGGGGGTGTCGGGCTGGCTCGGCCTCCAGCAAAGCCGCCCACCAGTGCTCCCAGTCCTGGGAGGAGGAAGCAGCAGGCAGGTGAACTGGCCCACAGCTCAGCCGAGTGCAGGGTTGCGGGGGGTGGCAGGGGTTGGGGGGGGGGAAGCGGTTTGAAGCCTTACTCCTGGGCCTGGAACCTCCCACCCCCCCCAGCCCCGGTGCCCCCACCCCAGCCGGGCCCGGGCCCAGGACTCACGGTAGTCATAGCTGGCGGTGGTAGAAGACACCTGGTCGTCGTCCTCCTCGGAGTCCGAGAGCATCTCTGGGGGAGCGAGGGACGTGTCACCCCAGCCAGTGCCCAGACCCTCCCGCCCCGCCCTGCCCCGCCCAGAGCAGGCCCCCAGGGCAGCAGAGGGGGCCAGGGGCCAGTGGTTCTGAAGTGAGGGTTTTTCTCAGCCATCGCCACGCACACTCGGGATTTCTCAGAGCGAGGAAGGCTAACGGGCAGACGTTTTCCAATGCAAAGGTGGACGAGGCCGCGAGAGAGGCTTCCCCAGCACAGGCCGTTTAAGGGCAGGAGATGGGATTTCCCAAAACCACAAAGAGACGCCGAAACCGGTTTGGCTCAGTGGATAGAGAGCGTCGGCCTGCGCACTGAGGGGGTCCCAGGTTCGATTCCGGTCAAGGGCATGTGCCTTGGTTGCGGGCACATCCCCAGCAGGGGGTGTGCAGGAGGCAGCTGATCGATGATTCTCTCTCATCGATGTTTCTACCTCTCTATCTCTCTCCCTTCCTCTCTGTAAAAAAAAATCAACAAAATATGTTTTTTTTTATAAAAAGAAAAAGCATGAAGAGGAGATGGGCATGACCACAGCCTTGGAGATGTCAGGCAGCCATGGAGGGCACGGGGGTGGGGGTGGGGTCAGGGGGCCAGCCTCCACGGGCGTCTCGTGAGGACCAACACAGACGTTCACCTGGAGTAGCTGCTCACCTGGAGTAGCTGCTCACCTGGAGTAGCTGCTCACCTGGAGTAGCTGGCATGGAGGCGGCCAGGGACCGGCGCCGCTGCCACCGGTAGATCCAGGTGCAAAGAACCACGGTGACCACGTAGAAGGCGTACAGGCAGAGGTACCCTGCGGGGGGGGGGGGGGGGGAGGACATGTCACCGGTGGCGTCCCGGCCGCAGGGCCTGGGAACAGGGCTGCCAGCTCTATTGCTGATGCTGTGGGGGTGGCTGGGGGTGGGCACCCTGCCCAGCGCCAGCAAACGGAGCCTCTGCCCGCCTTCCCTGCCCCCCTGGCTCCGAACAATCCAACAATCCAGGCCCTGAGCGAGGCCTGACTCCGACAGCGGCCTCCCCCTCAGGGGCTCCGAGTGGCGTCCTGCCCTGTGCCCCGGGGGCTGGGCCGGCACCGGCACCAGCACTGCTGAGCTCTGCCGCCCGGTGGCAGCCGCGGGAGGCCTGGCAGCAGGTGGAAAGGCGGCGGGCGGGAGAGTGTGGGCATGCTCCGCCTCGCCCGCCCACCGTGGTGCCGGCTCCGGCAGGGCCTGTGACCCTCCAAGACGTCATCCCCTGCCTCTTCAGGTGAGGGGGGAATAGCTCCCATGGGCGGGGGGGGAGGGGGTCCCTGGAATCCTGTGCATCCTCAACTGCCCGCACACTGTCCCGCATCCCGGCCGCTGAGGCACAGGGCGGACTGTGGGTGCTGCTGGTACCCTGACCCCCGCCGCTGGCATCCGGCTCAGCTTGCTAACGTGTGACATAGTGCGGAGTCTGCCAGAACCGGTTTGGCTCAGTGGACAGAGCGTCAGCCTCAGTACTGGATGGTCCTGGATTCGATTCTGGTCAAGGGCACATACCTTGGTTGCGGGCACATCCCCCGTGGGGGGGCGTGCAGGAGGCAGCTGATGGATGTTTCTCTCTCATCGATGTTTCTAACTCTCTCCTCTCTCCCTTCTTCTCTGTAAAAAATCAACAAAATATATTTAAAAAAGAAAAAAAAAAAAAAAAGAAATTGTGAGGAGTCTGAGCACTGGCCCCGGCTCCGCCTGCCCCTCTGGCTCCCGGACGACCTGACACCCCTTTTCTCCCTCGAACCCTCCCTGAGTGGCTCCCATCACCTGGCCCCAGAGGAGCCCTGTGCCCTGCTGGCCACCCCGTCCCGTCCCCGTGCCTCCCGGCCCCTCAGCCCCGCCCGGCCCGGCAGTCACTCACCCAGGGCCCAGGCCAGCGTGACGCGGCCGCGGTAGAGGGCGGTGAAGGTCAGGAAGGCGGCCGCCATGTAGAAGGCGATGTCCCGGAGGAAGGGCCGGGAGGCGGCCGTGAAGGGGCGCAGGATGGCGATGCCGCCGGCCACCACGGTGGTCACCAGCACGCCGGCGCCTGGGGGATAGGTCACATGTGCTCAGCCCTCCCCCTGCCACCCGCCCCGTGCCACCTGCCCTGCCCGCTGCCCGCAGCCCCGGCCGCGCCTACCGAACAGCGCCCCGAAGGCCAGGCCGGCCGTGTGCGGGTCCGAGAAGGCCACCAGCGCGCTGAAGATGTCGGGCGCGCCATTGCCGAACGCCAGGAAGGTGACGCCATGGGGGAGCATGTCAAGGGGGAGGGTCTGTGCCAAGGCCCCGGCCTCGAGTGACCAGACGTCCAGATTTTTAGCAATTTGTCCCACGGGGGACGGGGGACAAATTGTTAAAAATCAGGACTGTCCCGACAAAAGTGGGTCATCTGGTCACCTTACCCGGCCTGCCCAGGTCGTTCCTAGGGCTGCCACCTGTGTCCCCACCTCCCCGCCCCCCACCTCCTGCCCTCCTGCCAGGGCACAGGGCCCATGAAAGGATACTGCCACGTTGTGGGACAGCTTGAGCGTCGTGGAAATAGCTGACAGGTTAGGGCAGAAACTGCAGGAACAAAACAAATGGTGAGGATGCTACAGGGAGGGACCCCCTGCGCCCACCCTGCCCCCCAAACCTGGGGTCGCCCCAAGGTCAACCTGCCAAGACCCCTGAGCTAAGGTGACCAGATGTCCCGATTTTTAACAATTTGTCCCGCGTACCATGGCGCTTTAAAAAAGTCCCGATTTTTGGCCAAAAATGGTACTTTTTTATTTATTTTTAAAAATATATAATTTATTGATTTTTTACAGAGAGGAAGAGAGAGGGATAGAGAGTTAGAAACATCAATGAGAGAGAATCATCGACCAGCTGCCTCTTGCACACCCCCTCCTGGGGATGCGCCCGCAATCAAGGTACATACCCTTGACCGGAATCAAACCTGGGACCTTTCAGTCCGCAGGCCGACGCTCTATCCACTGAGCCAATCTGGTTTCGGCAATCGGGACTTTTTTAAAGTGCCGCGGGATGCGGGACAAATTGTTAAAAATCGGGACTGTGGTCACCTTACCCTGAGCCCAAGGCCAACTCACAACTTCTCCGCGGTGACTCCCAGGATCAGAAACAGGTAGAGCAGCCAGAGAGCCTGGGTGGGGCCGGAGAGGGAGGGGTAAGTCCCGCCTGGGCCGGCGCCCTGCCCACTGCCCCCACCCCCCCAGCTTCCTCCCCCAGCTCCCCAGCGGGGCTCACGTAGAGGGTGATGGCCAGGGGGAGCAGGCTGGGGGGGAAGTGGCAGAAGATGCCCTCCAGGTAGTCCAGGTAGCCGCCCTCACTGCGGCAGTCAGGGTTGGTCCGGACGAAGCCGCAGCGGTCGGAGGCGTTCAGGCCGCACACGTCACGACACTGCAGGGAGGAAGAGGGGGGCAGGACATCAGAGGCACAGGCCACGGGTGACCAGAGCTGGCCCCACTAAATAGGGGAAGGTGACCTCCTTCAGCCTGCTCTCTCTTACACACTGTAATCTTACATACATATATATATATATATATATATATATATATATATATATATATAATCAAATTTTTAAAATATATTTTATTGATTTTTCACAGAGAGGAAGGGAAAGGGATAGATAGCTAGAAACATCGATGAGAAAGAATCATCGACCAGCTGCCTCTTGCACACCCTCCACTGGGGATGTGCCCGCAACCAAGGTATGATACATGCCCTTGACCAGAATCAAACCTGGGACCTTTCAGTCTGCAGACCAATGCTCTATCCACTGACCCAAACAGGTTTCGGCTCGATTTTTTTTTTTTTTTTTTACAGAGAGGAAGGGAGAGGAATAGAGAGTTAGAAACATCGATGAGAGAGAAACATCCATCAGCTGCCTCCTGCACCCCCCCCACTGGGGATGTGCCCGCAACCAAGGTATGTGCCCCTGACCAGAATTGAACCTGGGACCCTTCAGTCCACAGACTGATGCTCTCTATCTACTGAGCCAAACTGGTTTCGGCAACACCCTGTAATCTTTTAAAAATAAACTTGTGCTGGAAATTAACACCAGCTATCCATGAGTACATGTTTGTTTCAAACAAAAACAATAAACAATACGTAAAGATCTCTAGATTTCCCCTCCTCATCCCTGCCTTCGGTGATCCCACCTCTCCCTAGAGATTCCGCCATGGTCAGTTGGAAGCGCACCTGACAGATGTTTCTCAGTGTGAAGACATTTGGATGTACACCCCATGTTACAGTTTGGTTTGTTTTACAGAAACGGATCCATCCCAGTTGTTCTCTCTATGGAGCCCACCTGCGCCCTCTCCCCAGGCTCCCCAGGGGCATTTCCCTGGCCCTCTCTTTCTCTTAAGCTCCAACGGCCCTTCCTTTGCCTCTATAACTTGTTTCCTGAGCCCATTTCTTCTACGGATCACTACTACTTGTGACTTTCAAAATAAACATGCTCTTACAGTTTTGAGTCTTAGCTTTGAATTCTTTCTTAACCAGAATGCAAGTTAAGGGGGAGAGAGAGAGAGAGAGAGAGAGAGAGAGAGAGAGAGAGAGAGAGAAAGGGAGAAGAGATGAGGAGAGAGACCAAGATGGCGGCATAGGTAAACACCTAAACTGCTGCCTAGCACAACAATGTCAAAACTACAGCTAAAAGACAAAACAGACATCATCCAGAACCACAGGAAGGCTGGCTGAGTGGAAATTCTACAACGAGAAGGAAAGAGAAAAGCACCCTGAGACTTACAGGAAGTGCGGAAGGCAGAGGTACTGAGACGCACGCGCGGAGAAGGCTGGCAACTGAGTAGGTGGCTGGCTTTCTCAATCGGGAGGGAGACACAAGCTCCCGACTGCTCTGAACTCCAATTCTGGGTGAGACTCTGGGGACCCAGACTCATACAGGGAGGAATTGGATTGTCTGGAAGCAGGCGGAACTCAAGGGCGGCTTTCTCTCAGAGGTGCTTGCAGCAATTACTGCAGGACACTGAGACCGAGGGGACTTTTAGGGCAGGGCTGACGGGAAGACTTTGCTGTTTGTTCCACCCTGAGACTCCGTCCCATCCAAGCTTAGAGCAGAGGCTTTTGCATATGAATGACCTGGTCCTTTGAAATCTAAATTTACCTAACCAACAGCAGCTGAGTCAGTGAGACCCAAAACATCCAAAAGAAGGCCCAAGGCCCCATAGTAGCGTCCATTGCTTCACAGCTGGGCCTCATCTGGGTACCTCCAAAACCCAGATCTCTCCATAGCTCCTGCTGGGTGGCCTCAGGCAGAGGCTAAATTAGCACCTCCTAGGAGATCCAAGAGCCAGTGTACCCAGGGATCAGAGAAGGACCATCTAGATTATAACTCCTCAGATTCAAAAGGGACATACTCAGGGGGCAGACTCAATGAGCACCAAAGCCCCACTGAAGCAAGTCTTGTCTCATAAGGGTGTCTCCAGCACAGAAGTTCTCCCAGAGTAGACACAGCTGATCCTTACAGCCAATTAGCATGGAGGTAATTCCCCCAGTGATACCAACAACAATCAAGGCTTAACTATAAGACTGTGCACACAGCCTACAAAGGGGTGTACCAAGAGTGTCCACCTCAGGTAACTGGGGAGATCTATAGGACACCTAGCACACAAAGCCACTCTTACCAACTCAGGGAAGCAGCCCAGATGCAGAGACAAAGAAACAGGTCACATATAAATAAATAAATAAATAAAAAGAAACAGGTCACAAAGGAAAGAAATGGAGGAAAGCTAACAACTGGATATAGAGTTCAAAACCACGGTTATAAGGTTTTTCAAGAATTTTCTAGAAAAGGCCGATAAATTTAGCGAGTCCCTCGAGAATATGAAAAAGGACCAACTAGAAATTAAGCATACACTGACTGAAATAAAAAATAATATACAGAGATCCAACATCAGACTAGAGGATCGCAAGAATCAAGTCAAAGATTTGAAATACAAAGAAGCAAAAAAACACCCAACTGGAAAAGCAAAGAGAAAAAATAATCCAAAAATATGAAGATAGTGTAAGGAGCCTCTGGGACAACTTCAAGCATACCAACATCTGAATTATGGGGGTGCCAGAAGAAGAGAGAGAGTAAGATACTGAAAACTTATTTGAAGAAATAATGACAGAAAACTTTCCCCACTTGGTGAAAGAAATAGACATTTATAAGTCCAGGAAGCACAGGAATCCAAAGAGGACCACACCAAGACACATCATAATTAAAATGCCAAGAGCATGCCCTAGCTGGTTTGGCTCGGTGGATAGAGCATTGGACTGAAGGGTCCGAGGTTCGATTCCAGCCAAGGGCACATGCCTGAGTTTTGGGCTCGATCCCCAGTAGGGAATGTGGTAGAGGCAGCTGATAGATGATTCTCTCTCATCATTAATGTTTCTCTCTCTTTCTCTCTCCCTCTCTCTCCCTTCCTCTCTGAAATCAATAAAGAAATATATTTTTAAAAATAAAATGCCAAGAGCAAAAGACAAAGAGAGAATATTAAAAGCAGCAAGAGAAAAACAGTTAGCTACAATGGAGCACCCATACGATTGTCAGCTGATTTCTCAACTGAAACTATGCAGGCCAGAAGAAGTGGCAAGAAATATTCAAAGTGATGAATAGCAAGAACCTACAACCAAGATTACTCTACCCAGCAAAGCTATCATTCAGAATTGCAGATCAGATAAAGAGCTTCACAGACAAGAAAAAGCTAAAGGAGTTAATCACCGCCAAACCAGTATTATATGAAATGCTGAAAGGTATCCTTTAAGAAGAGGAAGAAGAAGCCGAAACCGGTTTGGCTCAGTGGATACAGTGTCAGCCTGCAAACTGAAAGGTCCCAGGTTCGATACCGGTCAAGGGTATGCACCTTGGTTGCGGGCACATCCCCAGTAGGGGCTGTGCAAGAGGCAGTTGATCGATGTTTCTCTCTCACTGATGTTTCTAACTCTCTATCTTCTCTCCCTTCCTCTCTATAAAAAAAATCAATAAAATATATTTTAAAAAAAATAAGAAGAGGAAGAAAAAGAAGTAAAGGTAAAGATAAAAATTATGAACAACATCACCACCATTTGTCCACCATCCAGAACTGAAATATCATTGCTGATATATACACATAAGGAACTGTTTGACATTGAAATTGGGTCTCAAAAGAACTGTTGGCCCAGAAAGAAGCTCACTACAGACTGATTCATTTGCCTTTAAGCATAATCATTATTGCTTGTCTCATTTTCGATTCTTATAAGTATATTTCCAGTAGGACATGATCTCACTCATCTAGAGGAAATAATGATCAACATAGACGGATGAACAAGAACAGACCCAGAGATAAGGAGCCATGGGTCAGACTGTTGGACCTCAGAGGGAGGTGGGGATAAAAAAGATGATATGGGCCTAACCCGTGGTCAAGAACAACATCGGGGTGAAGGCACCTGTGGGGAGGGGTGGGGGATGGGTATGGGGGGATGAGGACAAATATGTGATACCTTAATCAATAAAGAAATTAAAAGAAATTATGAACAACAAATACATATCTATCAACAAGTGAACCTAAAAATCTAGTGAATAAAAAAATCTGAAGAACAGAATAAACTGGTGAATAGAATAGAATCAGGGGCATAGAAAGGGAGTGGACTGACAATTCTCAGGGGGAAAGTGGTATGGGGGTGTGGGAAGAGATTGGACAAAAATTATACACCTATGGATGAGGACAGTGGCGGGGGTGGGGGTGGGGGGTGAGGGCAGAGGGTGGGGTGGGAACTGAATGGAGGGGAGCTATGGGGGGGAAGGAAGAGGAACAACTGTAATAATCTGAACAATAAAGATTTATTTTTTAAAAAAGAAAGAAAAATAAACAGCCCCATCCTAAATCTTTTCTTCCTGCGATTTGCTTTTACCACTTCACATATATGCCTTATCCCATATAAGAAAAGGCTAATATGCAAATTGTCCCCATGGGCAGGAGTTGGACCGACAGGGTTAGACGTGTGCTGACCACCAGGGGGCGGCAGGGAACATGGTGGGCATCAGCAATGAGGCCCTGCCGGCCTTGACGAGAGTGGGACCACAGCAGGATGGTGGAGCAGGTGAGTGGGCAGCGCCAGGCCAAGGCGGGAGCGAAGGGAGGCCCTGGCTGGCGGTGGCAGCAGGCAGCTGGGGAAAGGGAGACCCCAGCTGGCAATCAGCAGCCGCAGCCAGCAGCTACTAGGGATCCTACCTGTGCACAAAATTTGTGCACTGGGCCTCTAGTACTGCCATACGGATACACAATGGTGAAGAGGGTGATAAAAGTAAAAGCATCCTGAGGGGTTTCTAGATGCCAGGAAAAGTGCCCGGAGCTTAAATGCATCTCAGTAAATTAATCTGCACAACAGCCTCTGAGGAAGGCACTATTTCCGTGCCCAGAGACAGACAGGGAGACTGAGGCAGTGTCCTGGTTCCACTCCGAGGCACCTTTTCCTACCACCACAGCCCCTGCCTCACCTCGGTCTTTTTCTGTTTTGTTTTGTGAATCCTCGCCTGAGGATATTTTCCCATGGATTTTTAGAGAGAGTGGAAGGGAGCGAGGGGAGAGATAGAAACACTGATGTGAGAGAAAGACACGGGTTGGTTGCCTGTAGCGCATGCCTAGGGCCGGGGATCGTGCCTGCAAACTGAGGTATGTGCCCTTGCCTGGAATAGAACCCGGGACCCTTTGGTCTGTGGGCTGACGCTCTATCCACTGAGCCACCCTGGCTCTGGGCTCACTGCAGTCTTTTTAACAGCACCGTAGTATTTCACACTATGAAAGGTACATGGCGGAGATAACAGTTCCCTCCCGGTGGGCATTTGGGTGTGTCTAATTTCCCAATAATATTAACACTGAACTTCTTCACACGTGACTCTCCAGACACACGTGAGACTATTTTGTCCGAGAGAATTCCAGAAGTGAAAGTGCTGAGTCAGAGCGGACCCTAGTCTGGGTTCCTCCGGAGGCAACCAGAGACGAGAAGTTGCAGAAATACCTCGGTTTCCATTGTCGGGCGCTTCGCAGATCTGCGTGTGTCACCGGGGTGCCTGCGGCAGCCCTGCGTCCAGCAAGTCTAGGGTGCTGTTTTTCCGCGCTCAAACCCTGATTCTGCCCCTTCCCTCGTGGCCAAGGTGCCCTCGGGGACCTGTGTCTGCTTCTCTAGCGCAGAGACAATCATACGTGGGTCAGGGGCTTGGGGGTGGGGGGTTGGTGAGCCTGGCACAGTGCTTGGTAAACCAGAGATAATCCCACACAAACTACAGCTCACCCCCGTTTCCCTGCATCCGACAAGCACGCCCCAGGAGGCAGCCGTGGATGTTACAACCACCCTAACCACAAATGGCTTTCCCCACCGGTACAATGGCCTAATTACCCGTCCGCCTGCCTCAGGGGGTGAGCAAGGAAGCACTTAGCAGCCCCATAAAGTGGGTGCAGGCTCTTAGCCCGTTGGGAGCGTTATTTCACTCTCTGCTGACGAAAATACAGGGCGGAACTTCAGCCCTGGAGCTGGAAGGGACTGGGGGGCAGGGGTGGGGGGTGGGGAGGGTAGAGGGGAGGGCATTGTCTTGAGCAGACCCTGCCTTTAGCCATTGGCCCCTGATCTCCCATGAGGTCTCCACCCTTCCAGACCTCAGAACGGAATGATGCCAGTTCTCAGCGGCCTGCACCCTCCCTGCTTGCCTCTCACCCTAGGGACCCGCTGCTTCTCACTCCGTGCAGCCAAGTCCATGTCACGGCCATCGGCCCAGTGGCTGAGGTCAGGGACCTGAAGCCATCCTTGACTCCTCTTTCTCCCACCACCATGCCCTCCAGCTAATCCATCCTCCTACATTTATCCCAAATCTCACCACTTCTTTCCTACCTCCCAGCCCCACCATTGCTCATCTGGACAGCTGCGGGAGTCTCCCCTCCCCACGGTGCCCTGGCTGTCCCTCTGGCCCCTCTCAACCCATTCTCCCCAGAGAAGCCAGAGAGAGTCCCTTGAAAAAAATAAACCGGATTTTTGACCTGCCTCTGCTTAAAACCCTCCACTGGCTCTTCACTCTCATAAAACACATCTAACCTCCTGGCCCCAGCATGTAAGGCCTTTTATAATCTGGCCACCACGACCTCTTGTCCCTCCTTGTCTGTTAACTCTCTTCCCCTCACGCTGCTCCAGCCATTCTGGACCCCTCGCTCCTACAGGAACACACGAAGCTTGTTTTTGCATCAGGATCTTTGTGCTGGCTGTTTTCTTCTGCCTAAAATGCCCTACCCTTGGAGGGCTGTACAAGAGGCTTCTTTTCTTCATTCAGGGCGTGGCTCCTAGAAGCCATCTGTGACCACCCAATCTGAAACAGTTGGAGATATACCCTCCCCCTTACAGCCCTGCCTCCCCAATAGCACTTGATCCTATTTGCAGCATCTTACCACCTGAAGCTTACATGTTTACTTCTTTTTAAAATAGATATATATTTTTTTATTGATTTCAGAGAGGAAGGGAGAGGAAGAGAGAGAGAAACATCAATGATGAGAATCAATGATCAGCTGCCTCCTGCAGGCCCCTACTGGGGATCCAGTCCGTAATGGGGTATGTGCCCTTGACTAGAATAGAACCCCAGACCCTTTAGTCCACAGATCGACAGTCTATCCACTGAGCCAAGCCGGCGAGGGCACTTGTTTACTTCTTTATCTGACCTCCCAGGAGACTGTTCGCTCCTTGAAGGCAGGGATTTTTCTCTCTGTTGTTCCCTGGTATATCCCAGAGATCAGCTTATCTCCTGGCACATAGGAGATGACCAATAAACACTTGTTGATAGGGTGAATTCACCCCTACCCAATGCCAGCTTTCCGCCTGGATACTCACGTCTACCACGGAGGTCTGGTTCACACCTGAGGCTGGAAATGGGGGGCTGGTGTGGGCCCCTGTAGACAGGCCCCAGGCCCCGGGCACTCTCTCCACTGTTAGCAGCAAGCAGAGCCAACACAGCACTCGGTGCCCATTCTGTCGTCCGCCGGCCATCAGCCCCCACGGGGCCTGGCCCTCACCCTCTGCTTCCCGTCTGCGTCGCGGTGGTTCAGTTTCAAAGGGCTGGCAGCTCCGGCCGCTGCGGGTTGGGGGTGAGAAAGAGGGACAGTGTCACTGAAGACCCTAAGACCCAGCAGGAGGGGCCTGAAACCTTTTTCAACCGAGGGGCGCCCCCCCTGCCCCACCCAAAGGAAAACCAATGACAGATGACCTCACTTCATCCCCCAAATCGCCTGGAGGGGGTGCTGCTATTGCTCCCATCCTACAGAGGAGCCACCAGGAGCCAGAGCCAGCGGTGGCCTCCTCCCTCTAGGTCTCAGGACACCTCTGGAGCCGTTCAGGTCCGGCCCCTTTTCCAGAGGAAGGAGCTGGGCTCAGAGAAGTTCCTCCAGCTGCCCCAGGTCACACAGCAAGGAGGTCACTAGGCCAACACCGCCTTCGATAAGGAGAGAGGCCCAGAGTGAAGTGAACGGCTCAGTCACAGCCTGTGAGCAGATTCCAGCTGTCCTCAGCCTCTTCCCTCAGTCAACATCGGGGCAAAAACGACTTCATTTTTCTTCCTAAGAAACACCAGGGGTGGCGGGGGGAGGTCCCTTGGCACATTAATTTCCTTCTCTGGGCTCCCCCCACACGTCCTGGAGGAGCATGTTTTATTTTTTGCAAGAAAAACACCGCCCAGAACACAACGTTGTTGTGTGTGTGTGTGTGTGTGTGTGTGTGTGTGTGTGTGTGTGTAATCCTCTCTGCACAGGCGTTTCTCAACGTCCTAGCTGGGGCGGGAGGAGGCCCGGAGGAGGAAGAGGGAGAGAGCAGGGGCAGCAGCGGCCGGCCAAGCATCTGGCATCACCTGTTGGCTCCAGCCTCCTCGGTGGTCCTCGGCCTCCCTCGTCCCGGACTCGGAAGCGCTAACCCGCAACCGGAGCCTCCAGGGATCCAATGTTGGGGGACTCAGTTCCAACCTCTGAGCCTCTGATCCGCCCATCAAATGGAGACAAATGCTGGCTCCTCCGGGCATACTATAGGGGTTCGATAGATGCACGATCCCCCGACGTGAGGATCGGCACGCGCCTCCCGGTTCCTGGTCCCGGGGTTCGGGGACTCAATCTCAGGGGGGCATTTAGGGGGCGCCTCCTGCGCGCCCGGGACGCTGGGAAGTTCTGCAAACCTGAGAGGAAGGCGGGAAACTGGGATCGCGACCACCCAGGCGGCTGCACTTTGCAGACACGAGATCCCGAGAAACTCCAGGGGCTGCTTGCCCAGCCCGGCCGAGGCTGAGAAGTTGGACTCGGAGTGCCAGTCTCCCCGCGGCGTCCAGGCGGGCAGCCAGGCTCCTCTTACCTCCTGCAGGGCCTCGGACCCGCAACCTCCGAACGTCGGCTTCGCGGGGCCCCGCACGGCCTTCCCAGTCCCCGCCCGCTGACCCCCGCCGCCCGCCCTGGCGCTGGTGTCCGGGCTGGTCCCGGAGCTGGTCCCGAGCTCGCCTCGCCCGCGCCCCGCCCCTTACCCCGCCCCCGCCCGATGACACGCCCCCTGGATCTAGCCCCGCCCATTCCCTTAAAGGCACAGGCTCCCGGGGAGGGCCTGAGGGTTTCGAGTCTCACAGGCCACCCTCTTCTAAGCCCCACTCCCCGTAGGTTCTGCTTTCGCCGCTAAAGCAGAAGTGAGCTGAAACCAGATGGGCTAAGGCAGCAGGAGTCCAGAGAGGGGAAGTTGTTAAAAGGTGAAACGAAAGGGTTCTTTCTATTTAATAGGCAAGACGCCAAAATGCTTCTGATCATGGATGGTGATAAGCCCCGCCCTACCCACAAATATTCCCGCTGTCCTGCCCGAAACACCTCTATTTAAGAAAACCCCTAACTGGGTTGAGCATTTGCCTCCAGTAGCATTGCTTTTTTGTTGTTGTTGTGATCCTCAATTTTCCCGCATTGATTTTTAGAGAGAATGGAAGGGAGGGAGTGGAGAGCGGGAGAGAGATTGTTTGTCCAGGAATCAATCATGCAACCCAGGTATGTGCTCTTGACTTTGAATTGAACCCGCAACCCTTCTATGCTCCCGGGAACACTCTTAACCACTCAGCAATGCCGCCAAGGGCTAGTAGCATATTTTGAGAGAGGAAGGCAGCCTCGCTGGTGTGGCTCAGGGGCTTGAGCATCATTCCATGCGCCAAGAGGTCACTGGTTCAGTTCCAGGTCAGGGCACATGCCTGGGTTGCAGGCTTGATTCCAAGTAGGGTGTGAGTAGGAGGCAGTTGATCAATGTTTCTTTCTCTCTTTTTCTCTCTCTAAAATCAATTTTTTAAAATGAGAGAGGGGGGGGGGGGCGGGGGAGGAAGAGAAAGGCAATTAGTGATCTGCTTGTCCCAGCTTCCTGGGGAAGTTCTGGTCATTTCTGTCTTCCTGCCACTGGCCTGGGGAGAGCCGGGGACTGGGACAGGGATGATGTGGCTGGGAGCCAGCGTCTTATCCCAGGCGCTCCTCCAGCCCCACGCCCACGTCCACGGTTGGCACACATCTCATCCCAGCACCTTTAGGTCTGCCGCTTCCTCCGCACCTGCAGGACTGAGGCCCAGCTCTGAGCCCGGCCTCTAAGGCCCTCACCTTCCAGCCCTAGGGCCCCATTCTCACTTCCACTTTCACCCCCACCTCCATCCCCTCTGCTCACCCTTCTCTGAACACCCTGATCCTTACACAGGGCCACACCTCTGCTTCTTCTGAGCCCCCTGCCTGGTGCCAGCCCTTCCCTTCTCCCCTGTCACTCACGTCGCCAGACCTCATGTGGTCCTCCACCCCCCTCCCTGCCCTCCGCCCCTGAGGTGTCTCGCCTTTAGAGAGAGAACACGACATGTTTGGAATCACAGAGCCTTGGAATTCTGCGTGACCTTCGGTACCATTTAGACTCTCTGAGCCTCAGTTTCCCCTCCCTGTCAAATGGGGGTGACAGTAGTGTCTATCTCATGGGGCCCTCGCATGATGAAACAACACTGGATCAAGCCCCAAGCCCCAGGCCTGGTACTGAGCACACATTCCTTCATTGGAAGGCATTGTGTTTTGTTTTGTTTTTTGTTTGTTTTGTTTAAAAAAATATATATATATTTTATTGAATTTCCACAGAGAGGAAGGAAGAAGGATGGAGAGCTAGAAACGTCGATGAGAGAGAAACATCGACGACCAGCTGCCTCCTGCACACCCTCTGCCGGGTATGTGCCCTCAAACAATGTACATGCCCTTGACCGGAATCAAACTTGGGACCTTTCAGTCTACAGGCCGATGCTCTATCCACTGAGCCAAACCAGTTTCGGCTGTTTGTTGTTTTTTAATATATCTTGATTGAATTCAGAGAGGATGGCGAGGGAGAGAGAGATAGAAAAAGCAATGATAACAGAGAATCACTGATCGGCTGCCTCCTGCATGCCCCACACTGGGAATTGAGCCCACAAACCAGGCATGTGCCTTGACCGGGAATTGAACCGTGACCTCCTGGTTCATGAGTCGATGCTCAACCACTGAGCCAAACCAGTTAGGGCAGAATGCATTGCTGTTGCTATTATTCTATTGGTCCTACAATGACTTACCTGCCTGTGTCCCCCCAGCTCGCAGCCCCTCACAGCGAGAGGCAGGGCCTGCTGGTCCTGTGTCCAGGCCACCGGCACACGGGCTCTCACCACTAGTGTCTGTGTGTGGCGATAGCAGCCTGCACCAGTGGCTCCGGAATGGCTGAGTTTTGCAGCCTAAGTCCTTCTTCCCAAGGGACCAGTCTGCCTCTAGTACTCAGGGGCCAGGCCAGGGTGAGGACTTGATGTCACCATCCCAGGTCAGCGGGGCAGCCAGGCACTACCTCCCTGTCTCCCAGAGGCCAGGGAGGGGAGGGGTGTGTGTAGAATCGGTGCTTGTAGGAAGAAGCCCGGAAAGATCCAAGGAAAAGAACCATGGGACACAGAGCAGGGAGATAAATGTGGTCTGGAGCACAGTCCCGGTTTGCCTCCGCTTGGATGGACAGGATCAGTGTTAGGGCCTATATTTCCACCTGGCAAAGGCCATTTGACATCACAGGAGCGGCCTCAGCAGTCACTGAGACACAGGTTCAAATCCTAGCTCTGCCATTTGCTGGCTACTTGACCTTGGACAAGTCCTCTCATCTTTGGAGCCTCCGCTGGAAAGTGGGGCTAATAAGGGCACCTACCGGGCATTCCTAGGACTGAGGTCAGGATGCACGGAGATTATATACACAGAGCCCAGAGCCCGTGGCTTGGCCTTTGTAAAAGCTGAGTGAGTGGAAGCTGGAAGGAGTCGCCTTCACCACCGTGGTCCTGCATCACTCAGAGATGAGGCCAGCTCAGCCTGACATTGAGCACCCTGCTCAGGAGGCCCGGGTGGGGGTGGAGGCTCCCAGGGACCTGGGGGGAAGCGTGAGCGGAAGTAGTAAGGAGCGAGGGGGAACTTGGAAGAGGAAAGAGAGAATCAGGACTTTCATCCTTAGCCCACGAGGCACAGAGACTGGGGAGGTTCCTGAAGATGCCCCAGTCCCCCCTGCATCAATGCCAGTGCCCCCCTGGCCTTAGCAGCCCTGGGCACAGTCACGTGGCCCTGGAACTCCACAGGGACACCCTGCTTCCCAAGGCAGCCTGATGGCCAGGGGACATACCAATTGTGAGGAAGTGTTTTTTATTTTATTTTATTTTAATTATTTATTGATTTTAGAGAGAAGGAGAGAGAGTGAGCGTGAAGCACTGATTTGTTGTCCCATGTATGTACACATTCATTGGCTGCTGCTTGTATGGGCCCCGACCAGAAAATGAACCTGCAACCTTGGCATATTGGGGTGATGCTCTGACCAACTGAGCTACCTGGTCAGGGTACGTGGAAGTGTTTCCATTAGAACTGCCAGGAGGAGTCTCTATGGGGCTAATCCTTCTAGAAAGTGACACGGCAGTTGATATCTGTCGATCTTAAGAACCGAGAAAGCACGCGTGCCTTCTGTGCCTCCGATGCTGCTCCCGGAGCGCTCCTGAGTGAAGGATTTGGGCGATGCTCTAAGCACAGGCATGCTTACTACAGGGACACTCACGACTGGGCAGCAATTGAAAACGCCCTACGTGTCCAGTAATGGCCTTGCTACGGTTGCCATGGACACCGTTGTTCAATCCGGTTTAGCAAGACTCTTAGAGCACTTCCCTTTGGGGTCCCCCCACATGTAGTGGATAGGAATTGGGTCTTTGGATCAGCTAGACCCAGGCCTGCAACTTGAGTTTGTCCCTGGGGGAGTCACCACTCTGCTCAGACTCTGGTTTTCCGTCTTCACAATGGAGTTAAGTTCCATGGGCCGCTCAGTGTAGCCGTGACGATGGAACAAGGAAATGCTGGTCAGGTGGACGTCAGATGTCTTGTCTACAGCACAGGATTGCACAGGGGTCACGGGAAGCACGCCCAGGTGACTGGCCACACCTGAGCCACAGTGATGACCACAGGGGGTCACATGACCTACATAGGGAGGGTCAAATGTGAGCACTGGGGCGGTTCTGTCACAACAAGGGGGCTGCCCAGTGCTGATGGGCCGCCTCTGAGTCAGACCTGTGTGCTTTCTGCCTAGGATCCCTGTTCTCTCAACCTGGCCAGCTGGGGGCCTTAAAAACTGACTGTGATGCCCTGGGTAGTTTGATTCAGTGGATGGAGCATCGGCCTGTGGACTGAAGGGTCCTGGGTTCGATTCTAGTCAGGGGCACATGCCCTGGTTGCAGGCTCGATCCCCAATGAAGGGCATGCAGGAGGCAGCCTATAAACGGTTCTCTTTCATCATTAATGTTTCTGTCTCTCTTTCTTCCTCTCTGAAATCAATTATATATATATATATATAATATATATATATACTATATATAATATATATATATATAATATATATATATATATATATATATATATATCCTCCTATCTAATAAAGACAGAATATGCAAATTGACCGTAACTCCTGGATAAAGATGGCGACACCCACAGCCAATAAGGAGTGAATATGCAAATTGACACAACAAGTAGAGAGGTGGAAGGCAGCTCCAGGCCAGAGTGAAGGTGGTGCTGGCAGCCAGGCAAAGAAAGACCTCTAATATATAAATAAACTGACTGTGATATGGTGGTACCTGTTTCAATATACATATACACGGTGAAAAGATGACCACAAGCAAGTTAATTTACATATCATCCCCTCACATGGTCGTTTTTTGGTGTGTGGTGAGAATACTTCAAATCAACTCGCAGCAAATTTTAAGACTACAGTGCCATTAACTATGGGCATCATGTTGTCCATTCGATTTCCAGAATGCATTCCTTTTGCACAGCTGAAACTTTGTACCTTTTGACCAACACCTCCCCGTCTCCCCTCCCCTCAGCCCCTGGAAATCACCACTCTACTCTCTGCTTCTCTGAGCTTGGCGATTTAGATTCTACATATAAG